CACACTGCCCTGCTCCTGTGCCTTTCACAGTGCCTTCCCTTAGTCTGAATGTCATAAGCCTGCCCCTCTGCTCCAGGGAGCACTAAGGGGCACCCTGATGTCGGGGAGCTCATGTGGATGTGGCTTGTTCATGTGCAGACCTGGGAAGTTTCCTGGGTGCTATGACGGAGTCAATCTGCTACATACACTGTATGGGTATTTTCCTGTGCTCTTTTCCTTAGGTAAGTCACATCAAAGTGCATTATTTAATAGTCAAACTATTTTTTAAAAACCCATAATGATTATCACAGGTTTTATTTTACCATATATAATAGTTCTATTTCACATCTATTGCTCCCATGTTACCAGCAGGATCTAATTAAAAATAAATAATTTTATTCATTTGAAATTGTTATTACACATGCATTTAGCAATTGCTAAGACGCATGTGGATATTTTCTCTTTTAATGTGTACCATGAATTACCTTTGTGACTCTCACCTTCAGCAGCAGAAGAAGCCAGAACTATAGAATAATATTCCAAACATTATAATTCAAAACACTTTTCAATTCTCTGCACAATTAAGTAGTTCAAGGATGAAGGTGGAACAAACACAAAAATGCACACTTAAAGACACAGAAAGTCTGCCACTCAGAAATATATTTAATTTAATGTATAGTAAGGGAAAACAGCAAGCTTATTTTCATCATTATGATGTCAAACATTTCAAAGCTTTATAGCAACAGGACTGGGCAGACGAATCAGCATTTTAGCTTGTCGCTTTTGCAGAGGACTGTAGTTTGGTTCCCAGGACCCAATGTTGATTCACAGATACATATAACTCCAATTCCAGGGAATAGAAAACCCTCTCCTGGCTTCTGAGGACACCTTTATGCACCTGAGTGCATGCTCATGCGTGCAACCCCTGCGCGCACGCACACACACACACACACACACACACACACATACTCACAATGCACAAATACATAAATAAAAATTAAAATCTTTTTAAAAGTATGCAGACAAATAATCATTGAAACAGACCATTCTTGATGTATATATAAATTTTTATCATTCTCAGTATATAGCAGTTTGACAGAAGTTCAAAACTTTAATTTTTCACTTGAAGTATCACTTGTACAAATGTGTACTGTAATATATGCAAGGATGGTTACATTGCATTTTAACAGCAAAGAGAGAAATCAACATAACATTGTACCATTGGAAACAGTGAAGGTTCAATTCACAGTACTATCCATATATTAACTCATTGATTATGTCTTCTAACATCTGCATCTGATGTGACATATGAGGAGATGGAGGAACAGAGGTGATAGGTAACTTTCAGGCAGTGTTCTTAATGAGATATTGATTGCAGAATAGCTTTCAATGCTAAGGTATCCATTTTTCTCTTTGGGTTACTGAGCTTCTTTCTTTGAAGTCACTTTGCCCCTAATGAACCACCAGCATCAGATCCTGGATGCATATCTAGATATACTTTCTAACCAGGAAATAATGCCAGGAAGAAACAAGCATTCACTTTCCTAAATCACTGTGAGTTTAGAGTTTACTTGTTCATAGTAGATAACCTTCCTTACCAAAGTAATCTGTTACTATGATAAAAATCTAAAATAGTCCATGTGAAATCCTAAAGGCAACAAAAGTAATGCAGTCTGAGGCTTTTGGGGAATGGTCTACTGGGTAAAGAGCTTGCTGTGCAAGCAGTAAGATCCACATTTTCATCCACAGCATCCATGCGGAAGATCAGATGCAGTGGAATATGCCTGCAATCCCAATACCAGGAGTGGTCACTGAAACAGGAGGACCCATGGCTCTCTGCCAGCTAGTTCAGCTAACAGACTCTGTCTCAAAACATAAGGCAGAGAGATTAAGGAAGATCTGGCCATTGATTAGGCCTCAGCACATACCCTTATATGAGGTTTCACACACATACACACACACACACACACACACACACACACACACACACAATCTAATCGTAATGCAGTCTGAATGGTGTTTCAAGGAGTCTGAGGCATGTACTATACAGATTATTTATAAGGGTCACATACGTGGTTCACATTACTTGTGGGTTTAACCAAGTCTGTTTTTAAAGCCTGTGGTGGTTTGGGTGAGAATGGGTGCCATAGGCTCATCTGTTTGAATGCTTGATCCCCAACTGTTGAAACTATTTGGGAAGGAGTAGGAGGTAGGGCCTGTTGGAGGAGGTGAGTCACCGGAAGTGGCCTTTGAGGTTTCAAATTCTTAAGGCATTCTCAGTTAGCTCTCTTGCTCTACCTCCTACTTGTAGAAAAGGGTGTAAACTCTCAGCTACTGCTCCAGTTTGCCATGCCTGTCTGCTGACTGTTATGCTCCCTACTATGATGGTCATGGGCTCACCCTCTGAAACTGTAAGTGCCAATAAATCCTTTCTTCTTTAGGTGCCTTGGTTATGGTATTTTGTCACAGCATTTGTAAAGTAATTAAGACGAAGCCCCTACTTCACTTATTGACATCTTCTCAGAAATAAAACAAAATAAAAACCTCCAGAAGAGAAATTAAAATTTCAAGTCTCCATTGCAATTAGTGGCATCTTGAGGTAATTATTTAGTCAAGAAAATGTAAGTACTTCCCTGCTTGGAGAGTGTATGTATGCATCCATTGACTATGAGGAAAGTCCAAAGGCTGCATATAGAGGAACATAGGAGATGGACAGTTTCAGGGGCTCACATATCTCCCTCATACCGTGTGGTCCTTTGAGATTGGCTATGGCCTGCTCTGTGTCACCTCCCTCACGACCTTTGTTGATAGGAGATGGGCTATTTGAAACTTAAGTCATAGCCTTATGGGGAGAAGATAAAATAACTGGGTGACTCATGAACTGTGACTCATTTATTTGGCCAAGGGAAGTCATGTAAGAAAGACTGATGCTGTGTTAGGTGGGGAAGTACCAACATCACACAGGGAAGGTCAGAGATATTTGTAAAATGCACCATTCACCACTGTCTGAAATTCCTATCACAAGTATTTATTTCATGTTCTTTACTACACACAAAATATATTCACTAGGTAAACCTCCCTGGACCCCAAGGGAAAAATAGTCCCAAGTCACATCAGAACAAGTGCATCAGAACTGAGGTGCAGAATCCCATAGAAATCTCTACCTCAGGCTGACTTCAGAACCTTTTGCTTTGAAAATCAATAAATCATGTCTATCTCACTTCTGCTCTACTCAATGACTCACTGTCCAACAGTGGAACAGAAACAAAGTAACTATAAAAATAGGAAACAGAATAGTCCCTGGTCTGAGAAGATTCTGAAATTCCTATGGGCAGATGTGGCAAAAGATTTTCCCCAAAACTGAAGAACAGTCCTTGATTAGTTTGCAGTTGTGAACCCTCTAATAGTTCCACATGTGGTTCACTATATCCCATGGCCCCTTGGCTCCATATTTGTGCAAGTCTCTCCTTTGTTATTTTCTTGGCCACATGTGAAGACACTGGGAGACAGGCACGTTCTTAAGAACAGAACTGTTTTCAGAGCCCACATCTAGGCAATAAGATGGGTATCCCAAGGCAATATTTGTGTGCCTGTGAGTGCATGCATGCATGTGTAGGTGTGTGAGTGAGTGAGTACAGGTGTCTCCATGCCATGATAGGTATGTAGAAGTCAAAGGACAATGTGGGCGTCTGTCCTTTCCTGCCACCTTGTTTAGACAGGATCTTTTGCTGTTGACTGCTGCTTGTGCCCAGCTCTGTGACCTGAATTCTATTGGCTCTATCTTCTGTCTTGTTATAGATGTGCTAGGATGAAAGATATGTGTGCCTCCATGTCCAGCTTTTATGTTGGTTCTAAGTCTCTGAATGCAGATATCAGACATACATAGCAAATGCCTTGCTCACTGAGTCAGCTGCATGGCTGCTGTCCCAAGGCAACATTTTAAGTTCTAAGTAGTTACCATCATCTTTAGTTCAGACTGATAGATATTAAACTCTCAAATTTTTGTTTTCCTTTTTTGGTGTACTCCATATTTAGTTACAAGTAATGTCACATGCTGACCTACACTTCCCCTTACATGCTAGCCCACCCGTGCCTCCTTTCAGTCCATCTGGATATTTCTTCTTTTCACTCCAACTCTTCCTCTGAGTTTTGCACAGTTTGAGCCTCCACAGCTTCTGTGGGAAAGTCCTCTAAGTATTTGTTTTCTTGAATCCAAAGTATTTACTGGACACTTAACTCAGAGTTTTAAACAATGAGTTGTGTAGTTCCCTCATTGGCTTTGGTTCTAGTCATGAAAATGAGTTTTAGCTTTTTTAAAAAATTATTTCTAAATAGAGAGGAAGTGTTGTTTTACAAACATGTAAATATAAAGATGCCAAGACTGGCCAGTTATTTGCTGGTTTCATGTAGTTTTGTTGTTGTTGTTGAAGTATAACTAGTAGCAATGAGAGCTGCTAATGGTGATATCATTTAGTGCCAGAGCACTTGCTTAGCAGCTATGTAGAGTCCTTGGGTTTGAACTTTGGTACCACACAAACAAAAAGAGCTCAAAATAAATCAAAGAATTAAATATCAAATACAAAGCTAAAATTGAGATTGGGCATGGAAGCACATGTCTACAATCTCCTCATTCTGAAGGTAGATGCAGTAGGATAATCAGTTAAAGGCCAGACTGGAATAAAAATCAAGACCTTCAAAACATAAAAAGAAAGAAAGAGGCACAGCCCTGATGGGGAATGTTTAGATATTGTGAATATATGTTTCTCTTAATTGGTTGATTAATAAAGCTGTTTTGGCCAATGGACAAGCAGGATTTAGTCAGGTGTGAAATCCAAACAGGGACAGAGAAAAATAGTAGATGGAGTCAAGGGACACCATATAGCTACTGAGGAAGCTAGAGACCTGGGCATTCTCCAATAAGCCAAGACTATGTAGAGATACACACATTAATAGAAATTGGTTAATAATTAAAGGAGAGCTAACCAATAAGAAGGTTGAGACACCAGTCAAACAGTTTATAATTAATATAAACCTCTGTGTGTTTATTTGGGACTAAACAACTGTGGGACAGGGCAGGACAGAAATTTCCATCTACATAAGCCCCAACATATTTATCCCAATCACTTCTTCAAAATGAAGACACTCATATCTAAAAGTATAATGATATACACAAATGAAGATGTCATAAGAAACTCATTATTTTGTATTCTCAAAAGAAAAGATTCTCATAAGGTTTATTTTCTCTCCCAAGTTGCTCTGCATACTGAATGATCCTGAATATGATACATCTATATTTGTACACATACATTTGTGTTAGGGTAGGACTTCAATTTTTCATACCCCTCAGGACAGATTATACAAAAATGGGAAAAGCAACCTCCAAAATTCACAAGTATCTGTTTCATAGATAGTGACCAAGGGTCAGTGGCTGCTACCTTTCTAACTCATCTTAGTACTGGACACTGGATAACACAGCACTTCCTGTCTTGAAGACATCAAGTCTTATGAAAGTGGGAGAAGAGAATATTCTAGAAGATTCTGATTGAAACATCATCCCATGTCATCTCATACCATTACATACAGCCTCATGTGTTTGAAAAACTTGGTCCCCAGATGAGGGTACTGTTTTGGGAGATTGTAGGACTTTCAGAAGGTGAGGTTCAGTAGCAAGAAGAGAAGAGTGGAGAGAATGACTGCCCTTGAGGTTTACAGCTCGGCTCTGCTTCCTGTCTAACTTCATGTATTAAGATTTTTGCAATTTTTATTTATTATTAATGTGGGGTGTGGCATGTACATGCCACAGTTTGCATGTGTAGGTCAGAGGGTAACTTTGTGCAGTCAGTACTCTTTTTCCACCTTTACATGGGTTATGGGAATAGAACTCAGGTCATCAAGCTTGGGCACCAAGTGCTTTACCCACTGAGCCATTCCACTGGCATGTGGTGGTTCACTGACAGTCGCTTCAGCCTTTAGTATCTAGCTTCTATTCACTCCTTATGCAACACTGATGGGTCTATTGCTACTTTTATTTCTTTTGGTATGCTCATTTTGGTTATTTCCTCTTATTCTACTACTTTCAGAGAGATTACATTCAGGTAGAACAAAGAAAGGTACAGGGTTTTAAGATAAAAGGTGAAAATATGATACTGGGTGAGTGATTCTGTCTGGGAACATTTCAAAGGATTTTCAACAGCACTTAACTGTTTTCCAGGTAGAAAAACAAGTATGATGCAAAGATGTATTAAGGAGTGTTTGTAAGTGGAGTTCTTAATTGGTCTAAAAAATAAAAACACGGAGTTGGATATAAAGGGAAATGTTGAAAGATCAGAGAGAAGAAGGAGCAAGCCAAAGCTACCTTTACCTCATTACCTTCCCAGCAGAAAAGAGAGTGAGTTCCTGTTTCTTCCTGATTATGTCCTCTCTATGCCCAACCATCTCACTTCCTGTTTGTCTGTACAGACCTCCTGACCTCTATGGTTAGCTAGTGGCAACCTCCATCCTCTGATCTTCAGACAAGCTTTATTTGTACAAGAAAGATATCACCACAAGTGTTGGCTTGGTGATGAGGGTTATACATTATGACCAAAGGAAAGGTCCTCTGGTTCGATGCTTACAAAGTATTTGAGTATGTATATTTTTCTGGGCATATGGAAAACCACAAATGAAACTAGTCTATATATAGGAGTTAGAGGTACATCGACAAGACATGAAGATAGAAAGCTACAATTCCTGAGAGGAGGAATGTTGATATCCACATCTAAAGGAAGAGGGAGGATGGTAAGCATGATGACATCCTACCCATGAAGCAACAGGGCAATGACCTTGGATTGCTGAGTTAGCAGTCCTGTCAGAATCAGTGCCAAGTCCCACAAAGAAAACAAATCAGGTGGCAGCAGAGAAAGTCCAGTATGCAGCGTTCAGCAGTTAAGACGCCAGCCAAATCCACAGGGCTTTCTAAAGGTGTGGGGCTCCCTCCCAGGCAGCAGTAACCTGGAAACGAAAAGAACTTAGTGGAGCCAGGTACAGAAACAATGTAACCCCTTTCCAAATGTCCTTGTTGTGTTTATTGAGACCTTGTGACAGATGTGCTGGCATTTCCTTAATTCCAGGAAAGAACATGGTAACAAGAAGTGGTAGTTGACTGCATGCTATCTCTCCTGTGTACCGCACATGCACAGTGCAACATGGCAGTTCTGATCAAAAGGAAGCCAGTGCAAAACCTGGTAACAACTTCAGAGAAATATGTGAATAATGATGATCAGATTTGCTCAAGAGGAAAAAGTTTCTTGATTTTGTTGTACCAGAGTTATAAGTAATATTCTATGCCAATATCTTGAGCCCCTTGGACATGTTTTAAATAATTTCTCTGAGTGTGAGGTCAAAGATTCATTGACATTCAAATTTCATGTACCCAGTTCCATGTATGTCACTATCTACACTGTCTAAACAGTCGTTCACGAATGAGAATTTTCACATGCCAGAGTGATGGCAGTTATAGGTGATGATGTTGTGCACTGATCTTTGTGGCATCCAGCCTCTCGACTCCTCTGTGTCTTCCTCCTTACATTCATGGCATGTTTGCTTTCTGATGGTTCCCCAGGTGATAGTATTACATGTAGATGGAGTTTCTGTTCCTCTTGGTCCCACAGCTGTTTAGCCCCAAATAAGCACACAGAGACTTATATTAAATATAAACTGTTTGGCCAATGTCTTAGGCTTATTACTGACTAGCTCTCTCCTAATTATTAACCCATTTCTATTAAACTATGTATTGCCATGAGGCTGTGGCTTACCCATAATCCAGCATGTTACTCCTTCGGCAGCATGGCGTCTCCCTCTTCTTCCAAGAATTCTCCCTATCTGGTAGCCCCACTTATACTTCCTGCCTGGCTACTGACCAATCAGTGTTTTATTCATCAACCAATAAACATATATACAGAAGGACATCCCCTATCAATTATATGTGGGCCCACTGAAAATAATTCACTGTTAAGACTAGACTGTGTTTCTGGAGATGGAGTCACATATCAAAAGAGGCAGGGACACTGGAGAGATAGTAAAATACTTGCTGGGTAAGCATCGGGAGTTAGGTACCCTCGAATTCATATAAATATTGCTGTGCATGGTGGCATGGCTCATCATCCCAATGCTGGGGAGGCAGAAGCTTGCAGGCTGTTCTACTTTGTGACTGCTAAAACAATGAGGGATTCTGTCTCAAAACAAAAACAAAGATGGTGGATGGTTCCCAAGTAGGAACATTTAAGCTGTCCTCCTGTCGGAGTCTGCTCCGACAAGTCAGCTAGGTTAGCTGAGTAGGGGCGTGAGGACTGGGAAAAGGCAGATAAAAGAAACAGAGACAGATTCAGGAGGACTGCCCAGTCCATGCCTTTCAGCACAGCGGACAGGGTTTAATTTAGAGCTTGCATATATACAGACTAGAACAAAGCAAAACAAAGAGCAGCATAGTCAATTAACCAGCTCCCTGCACCGTCCTTGAATAGAGGAACAGCCAGGTTTACTATCTATAAAGTGAGTCTTGCTAGCAGCAAGTAGCTTCATTCCCTATCTCTACATGCCTTTTGGCTGGCATCAGAAGCTTGTGAAGTAGTTAATACGCTCTTTCCCATGGGCTTAATCAGAACTTTCTCATGGCTCTCAAGGAAACTGAAACAAGCAAACTTGAACTCTAAAGTCTTATAAGTCAGAATAGACTCCAGGTAGAAACTGAGTCACTTATAGGTTCCCACATACTCTGACATCCACTTTCCCTGGTTTCAGAAAAGCAAGTGAGTAACTAGGCCTGAGAGCACACATGGCCATCTTGGCACTCAGGAGAGTGAGGAGAGAGGACCACGAGTTTGATAGTTTGGGAGTCTCAGAAAGCAGAACCAATGTGTTATCATCTCAGCATCGCCCTCAGGACCTGACACCAACTGTTATCCTTACATTTGCTTAAAGTTACCTCTTGGTCTAAGCCTGACCTGATTAGCAGATTATCTTCCCTGGATGAGTTCATCGAAGGTTCTAGTGCTGTGGTTGTTTTAGAATTCTGACCATAGTTTTTAAAATACCATTTTTCTAGGAAAACTGAGGCAAAACCAGATTGAAGCATCTGTATGGAGGTAACTTGGTATGTTAAGATATAAAATCAATTACTACTGTAGTTGAAAATGATTATTTGGGAAAATATGAAGATCACATGGACTCTCTCTACCCTCAGGATGAACTTCGCTTGGGCAATTTCTTCCCATGTTTCTCTCCGGCTCACTTTAGCCTTAATAATTTCTTCCTTGGTGGAAGTTACACATTAACTTAAAGGTGTTTCTGCTTCCTCCTCATATTTTTACCATGTGACTAAACTCTCTCTTCTCATGTGCTAAGCATTCCAATTTTGTTATCTCTCTTCCATTTTAGTCTCATTCATTGAATTGTTTTCTGGTAATAACCAAAAATTAGGTAGGATTTAAAAATATTGTTCCATCTTTAGAATCAACCCTATTCTAGGTAGTTTTAATGCACTTTGTTTAATGTTAGCATGTTTATTTTAACAGCATTTAAACACATAAACACCTATGTTTCCTGGAGTATAATAAAAAGAACAAAGTTAATTCTTGGTTATAGGTTTAAATTCTGTCCTGTGCTGAGTTTTATAGCTCATCGATACAATTCCTAGAAGATCTTCTCTGTGTTCATAGCAGTCCCCATGAAGGTATATATCATATTTTTCAGATAGATTTTTATTTCATCTAGTACTCTCCAAAGAGGAAAATTCAAAGGCAACTAGAATTGACTTCAAATTTATCAATTTTCAACCACAGTTGCATGTTGGAAAAAAAATCCTGGGGAGTCCAAAATGTAGTGGCACCTAGATTCCCCCAGACTAACTCACTTGGAAATGTAGCTTGGACATATGTTTTTGAAGTTCTTTGGGAAAAGCTAGCACTTAGCCAGAATAGAGAAGTGCTGTGTCTACAGTCATGAGTATGAAGAAAGGATGGCGATAAGCAAAATATGTTAGGAAGTTAAGGGTCAGTACTTCATTTGGGTCTGCAACTCTATATCCTCAGAAGCGGGTGAGAGTTCTTTCTTTGGCCCAGTTCTGGATTTCTGCTTGTCCAAATATAAGGTAAAAAATCAGACCAAACATGTTGACAGCAGCAGACAAGAAAAACACATTCCTCCATCCTGATTCAGAATCCTGAACACAGAAATACACAATAATTAATAATAATATAAATTCCTTTGCCACCAATACTATAAATTCTCTACTTTGACATTTCAGTACTAATCACAAATAATTTAGGGGGCAAAATTACAGAACACACTTAGCATCTTGTTAGCCAAGGCAGGGGGGTCATAAAACTGTTGGGAACCAAATGACTCTAAAAAACACATTGGGTCCTATTATGTAGTAACTATTTCTTCAAACAAAGACAAATTAAACAATATCAACATTTTTTCCCAGAAATCTTGGTTTCAACAATTATGAAAATGATGCTTTACAGTTGTGATTAAATAAGGAGATCTTCCCTCCTTGTTTTGTTTAGTTTTTTGGCTGTTTAATTCCATCAGTTCAACTCCTAAGTAGGACTATTCAATGTAGTGTGAGTTACACTTGGCCTGTTTGAAAAACCCTCCTGTCATGCCAGTCATAGTTCATTGCTGGCATTATCATCATAGTGAATTCTTATAAATTTACTAAGAAGTCAGTCTGGAATCTAGGTTACTTCGCTGTACAAATTACAAAGCAAAGATTTGCTTTGACACTCTTCTATCCTAGCCCTATTCTTCTTTCCTGTCTTCCCTCTTGCTCACTAGTGCACACCTGCAGGCAAACCTCCCACCCCATGCTCCCGGAACTCTCCCTGCCATTCTCTTCCATCTACAGCTTAATGTACTTAAACTGACCCTGGGATACTTACTTTTCCCTTTTATGATGTTAAAAACTGTCTATAATTGATCTCCCTCTTCCTTCTGTCTTCATCACTTATTAATTCTTGACATGTCTCCATCACTCTAATCATAATGAAGACCTCTCTCTTGTCTATTTGGTTGTGAGCCTAGTCTTTAATTGCTTAGCTATTACTCCAGCCCCATCTCAATCTTCTCACCTCCTGGAATTCATAGAAAAACTGTCATTTGCACCCAAACAGCTCATTTTCACAAAATGAATACCCATCCCTCTTGTAAAATTCAGCTTCCATTTTTCTTTTACTGGGAAGCATGGTGCACCAGAGTCTGATTTAGAGGTCTTCATGAACTGAGTGCTCAAATCCATGCTTGCTTCCCCCAGTCAGCCATACCATCTTTGAGAGCACAGTGTATATTTTCAACACCTAAAGCAATACCTGCCACTTGCAGATGTTCAATAACATGCCCAACCTGACTGATGAGGAATCCGGTGGTAGTGGAAGAGATGATTCCTGCAGTAAGCCCAAATCCCCTTGAGATGCCCATGAGGAAACTTGCGTATCTGTAGAGGAGGAGATGATTTTATGTAGCAACCATATATGACACCTGCAGCACTTAAACTTTCATGAAACACATTCTAATGGCAAGGTCACTTGGTCTAGTGAAGTGTTTATTCCTAAAGACATCCAAAGGGACATCTGTTCACCAACTTTGAAATTATCTGTCCACTGAATCAATAGCTAGAATAACCAGAGAATTAGTCTCTGTGGGAACTGAGTGCTTTCATCACAGTGCTGAGTGCAGAAGGCAGTTTGCATAACAGGCAGGATTCTGACCTCGAACCTACACTCCACCTTTAGATCCTGCCTCTACTCCTGTGTGGTCATGGACATGTCTTGTATACCTTTGTATACAGTTTGTCTCCTCTCCCTGAATTAGAGGGTCATAATAGGATCTACCTAATGTATTTGTGACAATTACATATATTGATTTATGAGAATGTGTTAGCATAGGTCTTGTTCACGGTGAGTAGCCCATTTGTGGTGGCTGATAGGATAAACACCCTGAAAATTTCCAAAACAGATGTCTGTGGCCTTTTCCCAAAGCACACAGTCTAATCTCTTATCGGGGAAACTTGAAAAAACTTTCAACTAGTCAGGAATGAGACATGTGGTCATGGCTGTGAACCAACGTTTCTAGTTATATGTCACTTAGCGTTGATTTAGTATACTTCAACAACAGACAGGCTTTGCACATTGACATTGACAGGTGAGATCTGCCAGCACTTGGGTGGTTTGATGAAGGTAAGTTACAAGCCCTTACCTGGGGGCAACATCTAGGGTATTGATGATGAACCCGGAGTCACACAAATTGCTGGTCCCAGGAATGAGAATCAGCAAAACAATGGTTGTTATGTAACTGGAAGTCACAAAAGGCAGGGCCACAGCACAGAGCGATGGAAGAAGGAGCCCTGGAGAATGAGGACACAGTCAAATGGCTTCTCAAACTCCATGTGGGATGGGGGTGGTTAGAATCCACACACCTATTCTTACCCAGGGATGAAAAGAGTTTTCGAACTGTGATTAAGCTGAGAAGATTCCTGGACAGAAGGAAATCTGCCATCTGACCTCCTAAAACTGTACAGCTTGAGGCAGCAATAAAAGGCAGGGAGGACAGAACCCCACTCTGAAAGAAGGAAATGGACACAGAATATCACAGAGCAATGCAAGGCACCAGCATTTATCACACAGACCGATCTTAGCAGTGCAAGGCACCAGCATTTATCACACTAACCTCCACCACTCCAAGCTGTTTGAGGGAAACCAGAACCTTTGTTACACTGGGAAAGCATTGTCTTAGGTAAGAGAACCAACTCCTAAGAAAAGCTATGTCACTTTCTGGGGAAAACTTCTGGACCCCTGTGAGTGGTGGAAGACCACGGTTATTAAGAGCCCAGATACATAGCAGCTCCACTGTGCAATAGCCACAAAACCCAAGGCAAATTATATCACCTGAGTGTCCCAATTCCACTGCTGTGGTATGGAATCATGGCACTGCCTCTGTCACCGTCATTGTGGAGGTTAAATGATTCTATACACTGGAATATAATGGACAACAAAGGCTGACAGTCATTAATGTCACCGTAATAGAAGAGGAATGTACTCACATCTCTGATGTTAACGTGGAGCACCGTACTGATGTATGTCGGTAGGTATGTAATGATTATGGTGCATAGCCAGAAATGACTGAAAAACCCCATGAAAATGGCCCACAGTGGCAGGCATCTGACCATAGCCTTGATGGGGATGGATCTTCTGGGAGAACTAGACTGAAAAAAGCATTAATCAATATCGGCATTATGATAGTTCTCCCTAGAAACAGTGCTCTGCAGACCTCTGCATGGCCCATGAGTGGAAGGAGAGGGTGCAGTGTACCTGCTGAGCCAGTGAGGATGTGATATGTTCCTTTTCCTTCCCACTTATGCATGGGTGATTCATGGGGTCATCATAAATCACTGTGAACCACAGGACACAGCAGACACAGCCAATGCTACCTGGGAAGGAGGGATGAAAATGTTCAGGTAGTTCCCCCTGAAATATCACATCATTTCTAACATGTATATCAACTTGGGATTATTCCACCATAAAAACCTAAATTTTCATATCTTCTTTTGCAGTCTGCAAAACTCTTCTACTGAATCTTCTTAGGTGTCAGAATCTTGGAGACACTGTGAGAATGAATAAATCACAGCGCAGCTGAGACTTAGGGATCTATTGTTTATACTCATGTGGTCTTAATGGTAACTTCTTAGCACACATATCATTGTCTTGCTTTGGAAAAAGTAATATGCATCCATGAGACTACTGGCCACAAAGTCAGTCATTGCGGAGAAATATTTCTAGTATGTCTGCAACAGATTGCAATTTGTATTCAAACTACAAATCCCTTGTGGAATCCCAGGAGGAGAAGCTCTCCACACCTGGCTAACATATGTGAAACAAAATGACTGGGATTCACATTGTTAGTAAGAATAGACCTCATTCCAGGAACATGTTTAGCAATACCATTGGGCTAAAACAAAAGAATAAACTGTAGAAAGTTGTCTACTTATTGGGATTTTTGTTATTTCAAAAATATTCTATGTTAAAAGAGTTTGGTGACTAATGTTCTTTAAATCCCTCCCATATTATTAGATTAATCTATTAAGCTAAATATCAGATGCTATGATCACCAAAGTAATCTGGAAAACACTATATAATGAACTATTTGGTGTAAGCATGTCACAGTTTAGTGGGGAGATGAGAAATACATTAGAAGCTAAATAAGGAAGTAACCAGGAAGATCACAGAGGGAAGAATGGCTGGACCTGATGGGTAAGCCACAGAAGGTCCCATGAAGGAAAGAACATCTGGATTAAGCTTTGCACGATTCACTTGGTAGAGAACAGGCTAAAGACATTGTGGAAGAAGGTACCAGTTACTACAAAATGTGGAGACTCACTGAAGATGCACTCAACCAGCTTTGACGTCTTAACTGTACAGAGTCACAAGGCCAGGCACTTCATACATGGTGTAGAGATATTGGGGAGGTGTGTGTGGCAAGCAGGACAGGCACTATAACTGATTTCTTATAAGCTGGAATGTGAAGAGTGATCTTGTCTGCCCTGTGCATGTGAATTGTCCATACCACTGGGAAGGTGTGAGACCAAGATACGTGAACTATAATAAGAAAGTTACCATCCACAATATTTTCAACACTTTTCATGGTGAAAGTGATGTATGTCTTAAAAATCAATGACTTTTCAGTGGAAACATGATTTAAATTTAAATTGTGATTTAGGAGACAGTGACTCACCAAAGATATAGAAGACAAAAGGCCAGCCCAATGCTTGTGTGATTAATCCCCCTACACAGAGGATGATGAAGGACCCAAATGCAGCCCCTGAAGAGAAGACACAGAAAAGTCACTTAACAGAAATAGCAATGGCTAGATTGTGGACACTGTGAGGTAACTGATTTGGAATTACTGGGTGATGAGAGGATTCATCCTGTTCTCTAGATTCTTCCAACATCATGTGAAATGACACGCACTGAAAAAAAAGCAACAGTTTACCTCAGTGACTCCTTAACAGCAATGTGACCAACTCTAACTACTCAGTTTGTCATAGAAACTCTCTGCAAGTACAACTTACCAAAATTAAAGAGGTGTAGTCCCTGCCTTCAAGGATATTCTGGCTTAACTGGTGAAAAAATAATGAACAAAATTCACTCTCACAAATGTATTCCAACTCAATTACAATTGGACCTTGGGGTCTACACTGCAGTAGCAACAGCCAGGCATGGTGGCACATGCCTGCAATCTCAGCAATCATGAGTCTCAGGAAATAGTTATAACATGAATTTGAGGCCACTCTGGGCTACATCAAGAGTACCAGCTATTGCTATCTACTAAAACCTTGTCTCAAGAAATAACCAAAATAAAGAAAACCAAACAATTACAGCTATCTATTTACAGACTATGCATTTCATAGTAGGAAATGCATTTTACATAGCTATACTACATATACCTAGTGTAGATAAACACTTGCACATACAACCACATATACAGAAATGTTTCATGAAGTAATGGTCACCTGTGCAATCTGAGAACAATCCAAAGGTATTCCATTCCATTCCATTTCATTTTCTGCAACCCTATTTGATCTTCTCTGTCCATTTTCATGTTTTACATTCTAGGCTTTGCTGCCACTAAATTGGTATCATGATATAGTCATATGTCTTCAATTTGAAGAGTGATATTGAATGTGTGATAATAAAATTATATAATGTGCAACAGGAATAAAGTCAAATCAATAGTAATGGAAGACTAAACAATTGCCTCAGAAGAACAAAAGGCAAATTAGCATTGATGGAAAGAGAAGGCATCCAGCTAGAGAAGAAAGATTAGCTGGGAGAATCTTGAAATAGAGGAAGTAGTGACAACACTGCTGGAGAAGCAAACATGTGTTTTCAGGTTTGCAAGCTGCTCTGGTCTCCCCTCAAAATATTATAACTGTATTAATGAATAGTAGGGATGCATTGCCATGATTCTTTAATGACTCCTCAATACCAGTGTGACCAAATCTAAATACCTTAGTTTGCTATGCATCCTCACCTGAGCCAGCAATGCTGGTGAGCTTGCTCCGTTCAAGTGGAGGAGCCCACTTTGCCCAAATTGTAAACTGACCGGTCCATGCCATTCCCTGTAACAAAAGTCATTAAAATCTTTGTTCTTTTGGAAATCTGTATCCCACTCAGTTTGAGAAAACATCTGGATACCTGGGCCATCCCCTGGACTGTTCGAATGGCAATGACCAAAATCACTCCAAATTCAGCAGCCATTGGAGTAAACAATGTGAGTAGGGATGAGATGAGCAAACCAGCACCAAGTATGTGTTTTGCTCCAAATATCCCTGCTAAATATCCACTTGGTATTAGCGTCAGTATGATTCCATAGCTGATGGAGCTAAAGATGATGCCCTGAGTCTCTGTGCTCCACTGATAAACAGCAGCCTGGAAAGGAAGAAAAACAGCAAATAGGTGAATCCTCTTTTACTAAGTTCTGATTTGAAAATCTACTTTACACTCACAGTTGTTCAATATTCAAGAGATCCTATTATAATTTAGTTTAGGTTTATTTTCTCTCAAATTTTTACCTAACTTATCATTTTTATTTGTTTGTTTTACAAGTAAAACAACTCTGTCCCTAATTTGTTTCCCATAAAAAGAGAAAATTTCAAACACAAGATATAAAGATACGTAATTGTGAGGCTGAAGAGATGCCTTAAATGTTAAGAGTACATGCTACTCTTATAGAGGACTCAGATTTGGTTCTCAGAGTCCACATGGTAGCTCACGAGTGTAACTTAATCTCCAGTGGATCTGATTTTTTTTTGGCTTCTGTGGACACCAGGCACATATGTAGAGGACATATGTACATACTGGCAGGTGTTCATACACAGAAAATAAAAATAAATAAATCTTGAAGAAAAATATGAACAATTGCATCGATGAGAGGATGAAAACAGTAACTAACGAAGGCAGGGTGGCATCATTGTTAAAGAACCTCTTTTAAAACATGAGTGAGAGCTGGGCAGTGGTGGCGCATGCCTTTAATTCCAGCACTAGGGAGGCAGAGGCAGGCGGATCTCTGTGAGTTCGAGACTAGCTTGGTCTACAAGAGCTAATTCCAGGACAGCCTCCAAAGCCACAGAGAAACCCTGCATCAACAAACAAACAAACAAAAAAACAAAAAACAAACCAAAATAAAACAAACAAACAAAAACTTGAGTGCCATTGGCTCTCATTGAATAAAGTAAACACAACTTTACTGATTTCTTATCAAAATTAATGCCTGATTGAAAAAAAAGATCTAGTTTTGTATGGTGTGCCCAGAAGAGCCAAGTTACAAGACGTACACCATGAATCAATAAATTCTCTGACATAACTCAACACATAATTTTGATAGTTTCTAGATATCTAGATCTGGAATCACATTGTAAATTGTATCACCAAAGAATGTAAAACAAGAAATACTTTATTCACTTAAGATAACTCTTACCAGCTGGGTGTTGGTGGAACATGCTTTTAATCCCAGTCCTAGGGAGGCAGAGGCAGGCAGATTTCTGTGAGTTTGAGGCCAGTCTGGTCTATCTAACAAGTACCAGGTTAGCCAGGGCTATATAGAGGGGTTCTGTCTCAAAAAATAAACAAGGAAAAAGAATTATTATAACTCAGATTCATGTTAGAATTAACATTTGAGGATGGACATAAACAGAACAGACAATTTGAGGAAGAGAAAACAGTTTGGGAAGATCCAAGAGAGGGAACAATGTTAGCCATCTTTTGAAGAATGCCTGTGATATGTGTAAAGAGAACAAGGAAAATGCATTCCTATTGGATAAAAAGAAAACTAAGTTTGTGGCATCGGGGATCTGAGCTGTTTCCATACTGATAGTGACTGGCTCAGAGCAGAGACTTTTCATGGCCATTTATGGATTGGAGTGTGCTGAGAAGGAGGACCAGGTCTGGTGGAGCACAGCATACCCTGATACATGTCAGTTAACTTGAAGGTGCCTTGAGTTCCCAAGCACAGGAGTGTGAATGAGTAGGTGAAATATAATGCAATCATAAATAATAAATTATAGGGATGACATTAGGAATGTGTAGGAAATGAGAGGATAAAGGATGCTTGCAAAAATAGGGTATCTTTATGATTCTTAAACAAGCGTGATGAGCATGTTATGAGGGTTTCATTTAACTGATTGGTTAATGACAGAATTGGTTAAAATGTGGTAGCTTGTGAAAATGAGAATGAAAAGCACCACACACATCTAAGTTGAACAGAAAAGCTGGGGTGGAATTTAAATAGATGACAAGCTGCCTTTTTCAGCCACAGTGGGGGGAGGGGCTGATGACTGGGGAAGAGTAGAGACTAAGTCTCCACAGGACTAGAATCATAAGTATTTCTATTCATCGTATAGAATTTGAAGAACTGTAAGTAGCTAAAAATGATGAAGGCAGAGGGTACTCAAATAGAATTGGATAACCCAGAAGAGTTCCCCTAGACAGTAACTACTTTTTCTCTGAAGATGCCCAAATAGATTTTAAATTGCTAACATTTTCTTACAACTTGTCCATAATATTACTTTAAAGAATGATTATTACTATCACAGCCTTAAGTAATGCCTCAAAAATCATCCAGCTCTTTTCGGTTTACAGTTGACTTCTATACTCAGCAGAGTTAAGACCAAGCCTTCTTTCCTGTTCTTCCTTCTTGTCACTGGTGCTTTCACTCAGCAGATAGCCTTCTCTCCATCATACTCACCCGTGTGCCAAAGTCCTTGATGCTTCTGCTCTGGTTACTGAGGGGGTCTGTCAAAGGCCCCTCAGTGGATGTGTTATCTGGGTCCTGATGCTGTGTACTGTTCACCATGGCAATGATGGCAATGCTCAGACTCACACGTTGCGTTATCATGGTGAAGTTGGAGAAGTGCATGATGAGAGCCAGCCCATAGCGCAATGAGCAGAAACCTGAATCTAGGCAGTAGAGAGTTACACAGTGAGCACCCTAAAGGACACTGCTCTTTTCCATTTCTTCCACAGTTAAATCTGGAAGAACTCCAGATCACACACCTCAATACAAGTGTCTTGCTTTTGTTTCATTTTGTTTAGTTTTTGTTTTTCATTCTCTTTTCCCTTCTTTCTTTCTTTGCTCCCCCTCTCCCTTTGCGTACTGGAGATTAAATCCCAGCTTTGCATATGCTTACCAGGCAAGCAGTCCACCACAGAGCTTCACCCCAGTCCTTTTCAGAATGCTTTTGAGACTGTTCTCATTAAGTTGCTCAGAATGAATTTGAATTTACTTTGTAGCCCAGGAAGGCCTTAAACTTGCAGTATCATCTGCCTCAGGCTTCCATGATGCCAGAACTACAGACCAGTTGTCTTCAGGCCTAGCTAATCCCGATGACCACCTTTCACCTCCAAACTCCATTGCCATACTATTTTGTTAGCTTTGTTACAAAGCATATGATGAGTTTGGGATCTTGCAAATATGGTCTTCTTTTAGAGGAATGGAGATAGATGATGAGCAAAGGAAAAACTTTAATGCAAGGGCGTCATGCTACATTGCTCCAAAATAAGAGACTAGAGGAAACAAGGCAGAGTCAGCCACGAATGTTGACTCTGCATTGCAAATCAACATCCCATTTAGCACATTCTTTTCTCACAGAGCTTTGTGAGATTATACATTGGCAGCTGTCTTTCAGAGACACTACTTCCCTGTCTGAGGATTCTCCTTTGAATTGTCAGAGAAACAAGGTTCTTCTCCTTTCCCATTCTGAACTCTCTCCCTCACTATCCCAGTTTTCTTCTTCTTTTCATTGAGACAAGGTCTTGTTTTGTTGCCTAAGCTAGTCTGGAACCCCTAGGCTCAAGCAAGACCCTCACCTCAAACTCCTGACGATCTGGGACCGCAGCTGTTGATCGCCGTGCCCAGCTGAGAACTGATGTTTCACAGTCCTCTGAACACTCTATTGACTCCTTTTCCCCTGTGTATTACCATAGCCTGGCTTCATGGCTCTTCGGACTTTCAAACAAATATGTAGAAACGGCTTTACTAAACTTATCGTTAAAATGATACAGAGTAGTATTCATTGTATGTGTAACACACGTGTATATATTTATGCATCCAACATACTTCCGATATTTCTATGCATGTATAATGGTTGTACTGATATTTTATATCTATTCCCAATAAAATAATGTAATGGACCAATGTTAGAAGGATTTCCATGTGACTGATGGGTTAGACTTTTTCACCCCTGTATATTTGGAAAACTGAATTGTGGGACACAAACAGGATCTGTAAAGAAACAGAAAAATAAACGGAAGAAATCTCCAAGTAGCCTGAGGGGTAGAACTAGTTTCCTGAAAATGAATTATTTCAATATCAATCAGTTTGAGTTTCCAAGCTCAGAAGAAGGGGCCAGCCACTTGACAAATGTGTTCCACAGGGATCTGTGCATAAGTAGCAGTTTGCTTTAAAATCACTTCTTCAAAACTCATTGCATTCCTTAGATACAAGGTTTATTGATCTTTTGGTTCCATTTCTGCCAGATTAATCCATGATGTCTCCTAACAATAAAACAGCAGGTGACATTTGGGGATTGAGGCTGAGTCTCTTTCTATTAGTCCAGCCCTCAGGAGACTGAAATAGGATTAGAAGTTCACTAAGAGCATTCAGAGGAGCAATAAATGAAAAAGCAGGAAGAGGATGACAGGTAAGGGTGAAGAAGTTGGAGCCAGGCACTCAGTCCTTTCTAATGACCTGCGAACGAGGGCAGTGGCCTTACCTTTCCTGGTTGTTGGCTTCTCATCCATTTTGCTTCTCTGGGGAATGGTGTGTACTCTGTGGTGGAGTTCCCCTCTATCCCAAATCGCTGTCACCACGACAGACTTTGACCTATGAGAAGAACATCATGCAAGAAATGACACATAGCCCCCTCCTGCTAATGCTGCCTCTTCTGAGGATCAGGAAGAGGTGGGCATCTTTATGACTTCCACATTCTGACTCTCATAGATTCTGACTATGCTTTCAGTGAACTGTGTTATTATGAGGGAATCTAACTGTACATCCTTAGGGAAAAGTGTTTAAATTCTCTAACCACCGGTTTTTGCATCTGTTTAGTAATTTTGCTTTCTGAATGGTGCTATAAAACTTAAAGAAAGAAGCTGCAAAGGCTTTTTCAAATCACAGGGGACCATGCAATGCTAGGAAACATTGTGACTTATAGCCGACCATAAAAATATGACAGCTGAGCTCAAGAACAGCCTTTACTCTCATCCTGACCATTTTTCTGTTCCCTATGTACAAGCATGGCGTTCTATGACATCTTTTTGAAGATGCTGCATGACCTTCACAAGTTCTGACAATCAGTGCTAATTATCAACTTGGAAGAATCTAGAATCACCTGGAAATGGAAAGATGGACCTATGAGTACCCTTGAATGAAATTATCTTGATTATGTAACTAAGATGAGAAGTTTCATCCAATAGGGGTGGCATCATTCCCTAGGCAGGGAACCCTGGACTGCAAAGAAAGTTGAGCACTAGCATGCATGTTTTATTCCCTTCTTCTGACAGAGAACAGATGTAATATGAGCAGCTGCTTCAAGCTCCTGAGGCCTTGACTTCCCTTCCATGATTAAAATATTCTTTACTACATATAAAATGAGCATTTAACTGAGCCAACAATACCTTTGAAACATTTATAAATTATAGTAAATGAGGCCTTCTGCTGAAATCATAAATGAATTTAGCTACATTGAAAAGCAAATAAAATTATGACCCCAAATATAGATATGCTTATCTCAGTATTTATATATCTTTGGGAGGGATATATTCATTTGCTTCTTTTAGGGAAGTATCTACATTCTAAGGATTTTGCACATTATATCCATTTTAGACTGTATCTTCAATGACTGTTAAAACCACGTACATCATATTTATGTTTCAGAATTCAGGATACTATACTTTCTGAACCCAAATTTAAAGAGATATTCCCACACTCTTAAAGATTTTCACAATCTGTGACCTTAGGACAGAGGACCATGATAGAAGACATAGATGAAAAATTTTATCCAACAATATTTATTGCAGTATTTTTTATAACAGCAAAATATTGGTTACACACTAGGAGATACCCTTGAATGAATTGGTACAGGAAACCACTTCCTTTACCAGTAGCACAGACAGAGATTGACAATAAATGGGACCTCGTGAAACTGAGAAGCTTCTGTAAGGCAATGGACACATTCAACAAGACTAAACGGCAGCCCACAGAATGGAAAAAGATCTTCACCAACCCCACATCTGACAGAGGGCTGATTTCCAAAATATACAAAGAACTCAAGAAGCAAGGCTCCAAAACACCAAAGGATCCAATTAAAAAGTGGGGTACAGAACTAAATAGAGAATTCTCAATAGAGAAATCTAAAATGGCCGAAAGACACTTAAGAAATTGCTTAACATCCTTAGCCATCTGGGAAATGCAAATCAAAACAACTCTTACACCTGTGAGAATGGCTAAAATAAAAAACATCAACGACAGTTTATGCTCAAGAGGATATAGAAAAAGGAGAACACTCCTCCATTACTGGTGGGGTGCAAACTTGTACAGCCACTTTGGAAATCAGTGTGGTGGTTTCTCAGGAAAATGGAATCAGTCTACCTCAAGATCCAGCAATTCCACTCTTAGGCATATACCCAAAGGATGCACATTCATACAACAAGAACATCTGTTCAACTATGTTCATAGAAGCATTATTCATAATAGCCAGAACCTGGAAGCAACCTAGGTGCCCCTCAACAGAAGAATGGATAAAGAAAATGTGGTACATTTACACAATGGAGTACTACTCAGTGGGAAGAAAACAATGAAATCTTGAAATTTGAAGGCAAATGGATGGAACTGAAAGAAACCATCCTGAGTGAGGTAACCCAGTCACAGAAAGACAAACATAGTATGTACTCACTCATAAGTGGATATTAGACATAGAGCAAAGGATTACCAACCTACAATCTGCACCTCCAGAGAAGCTAGGAAACAAGTAGAACCCTAAGAGAGACACAGTAATCAAATTGTAGGGGTCTGGACAGTCAGTTTTGAGGACTTCTTGCCATGGACTGTGTTAAAACAATGCTTTTAGATCTATTGAGGCAAATATCAGAGAAATGCTTATATTCAGAAAGTGTAAACAGGATAATGTGTAACCCACATACAGAGAAAAATTTACACAAGTGGAACCATGAATGTTCCCAAGGGTCAGACTCTGGGAGTCAACTTAACGTTACTTCTCATATTTATGATGTTTAATATGCATGTTCAAATGTGTATGTTCATGTATGTTCAGGTTGCATACATGTGTGTGAGGGTGCATGAGGAGGCCAGAGGTCAGACTCACATGTTATTCCTCAAGAGCTGTACATCTTGTGTTTTTTTTTGTTTGTTTGTTTTGTTTTTTAGTTAGGGTGTGTCACCAGGACCTAGGCCTGCAGACTGGGCTAGGCTGGCTGGCCAGGAAGCGTCTGGTTCTCCTGTCTCTACCTCCCTACTTCCTTATCTCCCTACCTAGAAGGAGCTGAGTTCACTTACAAATAACTATTAGACTTCTCAATTTTGAAATATTCTTGTTAATTTTTTCCTTTCTTTTTTTTTTTGGAGACAGAGTAAACCAGGCTGATTTTGAACTTCTGATCCTCCTATTTGAGCCTCCTGAGAGCTGGAATTAATTGAAACTTTATTTTATTACAATATACCTACATCTACGCTTAACTGATGTGAAGAACAGATGAATACAGGGCTGACACTGGCTGCCTGTTCCGACCTGAAAGGCTTCTAAGTCTCACTAATATCTGGATGATACCAGGATTCATCCCACTGTTCTACATGCAGCTCTAGAAGAAAAGACATCTGATGGGGGATGTCCTGTATGACCGGGCGGGACAGAAACTCTGTCTACAGACACTGGTCTTCTGCTAAAGGTACACTTTACTGGTGAGGAAGCATGTGGGGAAGATTGAAATGTTGCCTCATCCTTACAGTTCCTAGAGTCAGCACCTAGTCTCTGAAAGGTCAGACCACTTGGGTTTCTATCTATAATAGAGCCTCCTTTTATTTTCTTAACATTTTAAGCTTAAGCTTAAAAAACCATGACCAGCCTCATTCTGAAGTATTCTAAGTTTTGATCATGTATTCCCAAGGGACATTTGATGATAAAAAGTTTAAGTTGAACTTCGATTTGAATATTAAAGAAAAACAATCCAATTGTCTCTTGACTTTTCTGTTAGTGGAACTGTATTATAGACCTGTTCTGACCATGGTTTCAGTCTAAAGCCTAAAAGGAATGAATGGTTTTAACAGCCTTTTGTTTCCCCCAGGGATTGCCTCTAGAACCTCATGTGTGCCAGTCAAGCACTCTGAGCTACATTCCAAGACTGCAGGTGGTGTCACAAGACTTATACTGCCTGCAAGTATTACTTTGAATTTTGTCCCAATAGTTTTCTGTTGCTTTGTTGTTGCCGGTGTTTCCTTTTCATAAGACAAATACAAAAACTGGCCATTCCAAAAGGTAGTATTTCTGTGACATAATCATGAAAACTATGCTTCTGAAACAATCACTAGAGTTCACAAAGTCACAAGTCATCAGTGTGATTGATAAAGACAGTCTGGTCATTCTGAGTCTAACTGTAAACAATTGATACCATGGAAATTTTCAAAGATCTTCCCATTCAGGAAATGATAGTGAATCCTAGTAACAACGTTTCAAGGAGACCTAGAAACGATGAAGTGAAATTTATGTTTAAAAAGGTTTATGACAGTATAGGTTCTATTCAGAGGGAAAGGAAAATACAGACATATGATCATACATATAGGGTTTTATTTGAGAGGGAATGAGAATGTAGACATTATGGTTGCATAAGGGACTTCATCCTATTCTTCTTAGTCTGGAACCCATTATTTTGTTGCAACAGTGTTTCTAACACTCTTTGATTTTCCCTAAGTGCTTGTCTTGCATAATTTTGTTAGTCCAGTCTCCTGGTTTACTCAGAGCAAATGTTGCATATTGTTCAAATATCAGGAGCCAGCAGTTCAGAGCCTGAGTTCCCACTCTGCAAACCATAGCAAGTTTCATAAAATCTTAGAGCCTTAATTGTCTCAGAGGGAAAGAGGGGGCGATATTACTTCATGGGACTATTTGTGAGAACACAAAATGTGAGGTGTGCCTGGATCACCACAAGGAGTTCTGCACTGTCAAATGTCACTGGTATTAACAACAGCAGTAACAGCCACTATGCCCCACTCAGACCATGTTAGACCATCTCAGATCCATAAATATGGGCATTTAGCAAATAAACACATTCTGATAAAATAGTTGGTTTTAAACTTTTTAAAACATGGGTTCTTCTGCCGTGGAATCTACAGCATGGATGAAGAGGGTGCTTATCTTGTCACATACCTCAAAGAATGTGGGGAAAACAATCCCCGGAGTGTTAGACAAAATGAGGTCCTCGTCTGCTCTCTACTTTTCCGAGGAACTGAAATAAAATAAGCTATTCCATGTTTTATTACATCACACAAACAATGCATTTATAAGTTAAACCATGGCAAAAAGAAAAAAAAGTCCTAGGGCCAAAGTTGGAAAATTTTAGAAGTCGGGTTATGCCAAAAAAAGTCAAGCACACTTCAACTGTAGCGCTGTCCACAGGGCCTGACAGCTCAGGAGTGGCCTCATTCGGTTCCACTTCCCAGTCCGGAGCAGTGCTTTCCAGTCAGGTTTCCCTCCCTTTAGGATGAGCGGGGCATCCTCACTGAACCCTTTCCGCTATGGCTCCCACTCGTAAACAACAGGCACCCACCACAGTCTTTCTGGGGACCTCTTAACTGTACAAAGGCAGCAAGCCTTCTGGAACATTCAAGTTCTCTGGATTTCCATCTTACTCAGACTTCCGTCAGTCTCGTTTTCTCGAGAGCCAAGATCAAGTTTCTTGAAACCGGAAAAGACTAACCCCAGTCCCAAAGCTAAACCTCGCCAGCGCATTTTTCATGGTTTCATCTTACATTCAAAGCTAATTGAACTCATCTACAAACCACAGTGAATACTCACACGTTCTTCTGGCTAGTGACCACTGACCACTGTAGCCCTTGATACCAGTGACCTCTCAAGCCTCAGGTTCTTGATTGGATGGTTATTTTGTAAGAAAGCCTCTTCTTCACTTTGGAACCAGGCACCATTTCCAAATGGAGATCCTCAGGCTGCAGTTGGTATGTTTTTGAGTGCTTGTAAAATTAATAAATGCATCTCTGATAGTTTAGTAATTAGCATCCTATTTAAAAGAAGAAAAGCACTTACCTTCACCATTAAACTAGTATTTGAAGCCCTAGACTAGAAAGCTAGCTTGGGGAAAGAGGGTGTTCCTGTCTCTCCTTCTCTCCACAGGGAAACATAATAAGTTACATGGGAATGGGACCCCCGCCAGGTTTGCTCCCTGTGCTCTCAGGACAGGGAGTCTGCATTTGGCTTGGCCGCTTAATTTTTAACTTTCCTTTCAAGTTCTCACTGACCTAGTGAGTATCTCAAAGATGTCACTATGTTTTTCTGTTTTGAACTGCGCACACAGCCATTCAGTCAACAAGCCATTTAACTGAGTGGTGTGTAAGGGAAGCAGAAGTGTTTTCAGCATCCACAGACAAAGCACTCCACCTGTTAGAACTGGCTTCTGTGTTGAGAAACTAGGCTTGAAATGCTCACAATGCCGAGTTCTTGAACAAATGAGATGAAATCTATTTGCTAACAGGTAGATGGCCTTAATGAAATGTTCCTGCCAATGGAGTAAGTCAATCAGCTAGACTGTCCTCCTGTCTCTGGTGTCCACAGTGAATCAAAGTGAACTGTGGCTCTGAGAAGTTCCTCTTCCCGACCTTGTATTTCTTTGCATCCACCTAATGTGCTTTACGGATCCTGCTCCAGAGTTTGTTTTGTGACTTTTAGGTTTTGGGATATGGATCTTAGTAGATTTTTCTAGTTTGCTTCTTGACCTGCCTAAAACAAGGTGAGGATCTGCTCTCTCTGCTTTAAGTCACCCCAGCTGAGCTTCTGACCCCAGTCCTGTCGTCAAAGTCCTCCAAAGAGCCTATACTACACAACCCCTTAGCCAGTCTGAGTGGTCTGAGTGTTTTCTTTTTCTTTTCCATTATTTAACAATTTATTTTCAAACTATACTAACTTTATCTTCATTTATGTATGTATTATGTTGGTATGATGTATGAGAGGCCTGGAAACCCCTGGAGCTGAAGTTACAGGTACCTGTGACCCCTGTTCTCATGAATGCTATGGAAACCAAACTCAGGTCCTCCAGCAGCATGTGCTTTTAATCACTGAGCCATTTATTGTGTGACACTTCTTCCAGCGAGAGACATGAACAAAGATCTGCTCATCCAGATAGGGAACAAACAACAAACCAAGGAGACCATCAAAGCCCAACTTGGCAAATAACTGAGCTTTGTTGGGCTACTTACAGGAGTATAGGTGAGGGGGTTTCTTATAAGAGCTGCACTACCAGAGGCTAACCCCGGCATGGCTAACAACTCACAGAAACTAGAAATCTGGAGTTCACTGACAGGTGTCTCAGCTGGCCTGAGATTCTTCTAGGCTGTTTAGCTTGTCTGAATATACATATTATGTGTGTGTGTGCGTGTGCGTGTGTGCATGCTTGGAAAGGGTGGGTCCTGATGTATCTGGTAAGTTTCAGGGACTTCCTGAAGCCTTTCAGTTGTTTACTTCCTGAGTTTAAGGTGGGCCCCTGCTGTACCAAATGTCTCATTTCTCTGTGATCTTAGGGAGTTTCCCTCAAAATGAATGTTCATCTGGCAAAACATTGCTACACAACACCATCTTTCCAGCTTCATATTTTTTCTGTTAGTACTGTATTCAATCTCTTACAAACTTAGGATGTTTAAAACAATTTATGCTTATCCCCTCAGTTGTAGAAGTCAATAATCCAAAATGTGTTTCCCCAGGACAAAATCAAAGTGTCTGTGAGACAGAGCTCCCTACAGAGGCATGCTATAGCAGCCCGAATAGGATAAGACAGTCTGTGCTCAGTAAACAGCAGTTTATAGGATGAATGATTTCTTGAGTTACACTCATAATGAAAAAAAATCAAGGTTTTTAGAGCTGGCTCAAATTCCTTACCCACACTGTGATTTTCCCAAGATAAACTCAGTATGAGTCACATTTAGACAATTTAGTTTTTAGGAGGCTGAGCAGGAGGATTATGAGTTCAAGGCTTGACTGAGCTACATAGAGAAATCTATTGACATAGCTTGGTAGTAGAGTATTTGCCTAGCTTTCAGGATGCCGCAATTTAGTCCCTAATACTAGAAAAAGAGTTGACTTTATTACATCTGTAACATTCATAAATACCAATAGTGATTGAAGAGAATTGGTAAAGTCTTAAAAATGTAGGTTTCTCTGGATCGTTGACAGATGTCCTCAGTTAAAGCTATTTAACTGCAATGCTTTTCAGTTCTTTTTCAATTTGGTATGTTCCCAACATGATGCCTACTTTTTGAGACTATAAATTTGTTTAATGCCTGCCCTGTGATCTACAGAGCCCAAAGTTCACTGAGTAGGGCTGTACACAGGATGAAAGGGAATGATCATAAGCCACACAATCTTGCACAAGGTAGCGGGAAAGAGCAAACAAGGACCCCTGCCAACATGGGAAGTGTCAAAGGAAGGCTTCTCGGAGGAGGCGGGGCTGTGACTGGTTTCATAGGCTGCATGAATAAATACCACGAGGGAAGGGCCATCCAGAATGATCAAAGCATGGAAGGTTGGTATGGTTCCTCATGACTGAGGATTCCTCATGACTAGGGATTAAACTGCAAAACTATCAAGGGAATTTGGTTAACTGACTCAAAACATGATATTGATTGCTTGTTCCCAGTACTAGAAATAGGTTTTCCAGAATAAAAATAGAAAAATGTTGTAATGTTTCCTGCAACAAAACTGTAAAATTTTCAAGAATTTCTTGAACAAGAACAGTATGACTCAACAATTTGAATGCCTGGTCCTCAGTTGGTGGTGCTGTTTGAGGAGGTTTAGGAAGTGTGGCCTTACTGGAGAAAGTATGTCACTGAGGGCCAGGTTTGAGTATCAGATCCTTATGTCATTCCCAGTGAACTCTCTGTTTTGTGCCTGAGTGCGAGACTTGAGCTCTCGGCTTCCGACTCTATTGACCATATCTGTTGCTTGCTGCTATGCTGACGCCATCATTATAGACCATAACCTCTGGGATGGTAAGCACAAATAAACCGGTTTTTTTTCTGTTTGCCTTGGTCAACTGTTTTATCAGAGCATAGAAAAGTAACTAAGACAAGAAGCAAATACTATGTTCTTAGATGAAAAACCTTAATATTACAAAATAGTAACCCTTCCTTACTGAATAAATACCCCCCAATAAACAATTTGGTGGCTATTGGGTTAAAAGAAAGGAAACAGAAGGGCATGATCCATATGGCCTAAGGTTCCCAAAGGAGACAGAATAAGTGACATGTGTAAGAGAGAAACCTTGAGGCCCTCACCCCAGCAAAGGAGGGATGAGTCACATCTATCATGTGGATTTGATGCTTTTACCTATATAAATATGGGTTTTTTGAATCTTGTTTGTTATGTACACCAACCTGTTTTCAAAGTGGTGATCCTCTTGCTTCAGCATCTAGAGTGATAGAATTACAAGCATGTGCCCCTGTTTGGGCTAATGCAATGTAGTTTTAAATAAGTAAAGGAAATAGAGCATGCATATAAAGGGTCTAATAGTTTTCTAAATGTTTTCTCCCAAAGACCCGTGTGTGTGTGTGTGTGTGTGTGTGTGTGTGTGTGTGTGTGTGTACATGATTACATGAGGTAGATTACTAATCACTTTGGGACCTAGTAATTTTCTTCCTTCAGTTAGAAAACTAAGCAAAAAAAATGACTATAAAGACTGGTGAGATGACTCAGTGGGTAAAGAGTGCTGTCTTAGGGCAATGGAGGAGTAATTGGAAGAATATACTCAGCAAAGTATAGACTAATGGGATGGAATCTTAGAGTCAGAGGCAATAGACAGAAAACTTTGCACACTGCTGATGGGTGTGTCCACAAGCACAGAAGAGAAACAGTTGAAAGAATAGTAGCCAGAAATTTTGTGGAACCAAGCACATTGCTTTCTTAAATCAAGTGTGTCCCATGTCCTGGGCAGCAGACACAGGTGACTCTGGCTTCTCTTTTACTCGATCTCACTTTGTTGTACTATCCCTCCATTGATCCTTATGTTGCCTGAACAAAGAGCTTTTTCCTTGTGTTATTTCTCCATGACAGCTTTTAACTGTCTCTCGTTGCCATGGCATTCAAATCAGAGAGCTGCTTTTTGATTAGTGGACCTCACCCTGGATTGGTTTTTTCTTGTCTCTTCTTGACATTTGGGACCTAAGAAGTTGAGGGAAGAACTTAAGGTATGAGTCTGGGGAAAACTGAGTAAGATGTTCTTGCCTAGAGTGATCAGATACAATCACTCATGGAATTTCCAGTGTGATGCAGGCTAGATCATAGGGATGGAGAGGCTGCATCCAAAGTTCTTGTACTCTGAAGTTTTAGAAATGATCAATGCTTTCTTGATAATAGACCCCCCTGGAATGTCTTTGTGAATTTGAGGTAGTTTTTGGTGATTTCTTAAAGCCTTAGAAATCTTGGTCTATAGTTATCTCAATTTATTAGCCCTTCCAAGTGACAAACTCATTTTCTCACTCACAGAATGAAATGCCTGTGTGGAACCTTTGTAACATTTTCCTTTGCTTTGTCCTCATCCTTACTTGGGTGAGGTTAGTCTTTGCTCAGGAGCAAGCATCAGGTTTAATTTTGTGACTCTCATGGCTGATTTCTCAGTCATGCTTACGCTTCACTTTGAGATATGCTCAATGGTATCTATCAGACACTGTTACAGAGTTCATATGCCTTCCCAGTGAGAAATCACTCCATTGGCAAATTAATAAAGGAAAAGGCTCCTTAATAATACATGCAATGATTCTGGCTAATCACAAAAGGGAATCAGTCTCAAACAGAAAAGTTTACCAGCTTATATAGGCTTTGAACTTACATGGTCCACATACACTGTTATCCTTAAATGTCCCTTAGGTCTTGGCGCCAGTTTACACTTTGAACAATTTAAACAGAGACAGGAGGCATCTGGACAGGTGGGAGAGTTCCACAATAAAGAAATTGCCAGAATTATTTCTGAAGTATACCAGTGCTGTTCTTTTTGGTATAGTTGTTACCCAGGCTCATCTTGCCCACCTGGTGGAACTGATTCCCCTGAGATGCCCATTAGAGGCATGTTCTTTGATATGGAGATGAGTCTCATGGTTAGTTGTAAGTCAGGCTTTTCTCCCTTTATTAAGGGGATGGTGCCTAAGTGGGGTGTCAGTCTTGATAAACAAGCATTATTTTTCCTCAGCCACCATAACAATCCTAAACTTCAATAATGACACACAATTTTCTTTCTTGTAGTTTCTAACAGGCCTGGTTAGTGTATACTCATCTCCCAGTCATATTGGAGGGGCATTCTTTAGTTAAATTCTGCTTTATATAACTTATTATGTCCTAAGAGAGTTTATTAGTAAATCTGTTATAGCATCAAGTTTACATCAAGTTTCTATTGTGTCATTCTTTTTGGTTAGAGCAATTAAAATACAGCTCCAGTTTAAAATTTTTTGTCACAAATGGCTGAAAAACATCCTTCATCATCAGGGAAATGAAAATCAAAACTTCTCTGAGATTTCATCTTACACCAGTCATAATAGCCAAGATCAATAAAACAAATGACATCTCATGCTGGTGATGATGTGAGGGAAGGGGAACACTTATCCACTGCTGGTAAGAGTAAAAACTTGTACAGCCATTATAGAAATCAATGTGGTGGTTCTTCAGGAAGCTGGGAGTATATCTATCTCAAGATTCAGTGATACCACTCCTGGGCATAAATGCAAAGGACTCTATATCCTACTACAGAGACACTTGCTCATGCATGCTCATTGTTGTTCTATTCATAACACCCAGAAACTGGAGACAGCCTAAGTGTCCATCAACAGAGGAATGGATAATGAAAATGTGGTGCATTTACACAATAGAATATTATTCAGCTATTTAAAACTGAGATCATGAGATTTGCAGGTAAATGAATGGTGCTAAAAAAAAATCATCCTGAGAGAGGTAACAGGCTCCAAAAGACAAATGCTGTATGTATTCACTTACATGTGAATGCTAGCTTTTAAACTTTTGCTAGGCATGACAGAATCCATATAACTACCCAGGTTATGTACAGAGTAAGGGATTAGGGAGGAGGAAAGTCTCTCCCAAGGAATGGGAAATAGAATATACAGTTATGGAGAGACAGAAGCAAGACTAAAATAGGATGATTAAACAGAGAAGGGAAGAGAAGGGGGGGCAATGGAGGGAATATGGGAAGAGACAACTTACACTAAGGGCCATTTAAGGGATCAAATGTCAAATGTCAAATGAAAACTATTGTAGAAGCTTCTTCTTCTTCTTCTTTTTTTTTGTTTTTTTGTTTTTTTTTGGTTTTATGAGACGGGGTTTCTCTGTAATGTTTTGGAGGCTGTCGGTCCAGCCTGGCCTCGAACTCACAGAGATCCACCTGCCTCTGCCTCCCGAGTGCTGGGATTAAAGGCATGCGCCACCACCGCCTGGCCTGTAGAAGCTTCTTAAGATACATACATATATGAAAAAAATCTAAATGGAGTCACCAAATAATGGGGAAGGCAATGCCCTAACTAGTCATTTTTTGCCACCAATAGAAACTTCCTTTGCCAGAAATAGATTATATTTAATGAGTTTTTGACACTTAAAAAGGTTTCATGGAGACATACAAATAATTCAGGCTATTTCCAAGGTTGCTCCCTAAAAACTGATGGTGAGGTCCTATTGTGGAAGACAACACATATACATCTTATTGAAGATAGAGAAATGAAGCTAGTGCCTACCTAGAGCCTTCACCCTACAGACTAGTGTTTGGAATACTGAAAGACATTCTGTATGCTACCAGAGGAGAAAGGTAAACACCAACCTAGCTACAAAACATACAAACTACAATAATGACTTGCTTGCACGATATTCTTGTGCAATTGTGGCAAAAAAGTTGTGGGAGTAAACATCTATCTGACCATATTTTTCTCCTACTCTATGAGATGGAACCCATTCCTAACACTGCTCATGTGGCCAAGAACCTGAGTCTAGATAAGCTATAGGCCTAGAGGATAACAAAATCCTATTGTTCGGCTAAAGAAACAAAGCAATAAAAGAATTTATAATGACAATCAGTTATAGACATAGATCAGTGCCTCAGTCAGTCACCATTATAGAAATTTCATCTTAGAGTAGTTGGGAACTAACAGAGACTCACAACTAATATAGGAAAATGTACAGAGAGTCATTGGAGTACTCAGTCATAAATGATATGTTTTCATTAAATCCCTCCCACAAGACTCAGGGAGCTAAGAAGAAGGGGAGGCAGAAAGACTCTTAAAGCCAAAGAAATGGATGGCACCAAGGGAAAAGTGTCTTCCAGAGACAATAGGACAGACACATGAACTCACAAAGACTGTGGCAGCATGCAAAGGGATGCACAGGTTCAAGCCAGAGAAGATCCCAGTGCTAAGATGGGAAGTGGACATATGCTCCCATCCCTAACCAAGAAGCTGTCTCCAATTGGCAATTACTTGTAAAGGAAATACTAGTTTTCTCCAATGGAGTTTCACTGAATATATAAACCACACCTAGGGTAGACCCCAGGGTCAGCAGTAGACAGCCAACACAAATGTTATTTTTATAGGTTTTCTTTTTAATCTCATGTTACTTTGTTTGGTCATTTTTTATCTGATTGGTCACTTGCTAGTCTATTGAGGTCTCTGATTTTGTGTTTTATGGGTTTTATGTGTGTGTTGTTGTTCTTTTTCTGTTTGTTTGTCCTGTTTTCATTTGTATTTATTTTTGTCTTTATTAGCCTATTTATTTTCTAAAGAAATTGAGAAAGAAGGCATGGAATTGGATGGGTGGGGTGGTAGGGAAAATCTGGGAGGAAATGAGGAAGAGAAAATAATTATTAGAATATATTGTATGAAAAAATATTTTCAATAAAAAAAGAGAACAAACCTACCAATTACAAAAGAGACACAAAATGATGCTGTTAGAGCCTTCAGTGCTGTAACTAGATCAGGACCCAGTCTCTCCGTCACTCACTGAGTCTGCTGGCTGGGCCTGTCAGCAAATTAAAAATGAGTCGTCCAGCTCTCAAAAAAAAAATCTGTGTAGGGAATTGAACATTCAGGGTCCTCTTGTTTTACCATTGATAATTTGACTCCAAGGTCATAACCATTTGTAGCTTTACAGAGGCCTCTATCTAAGAGGTGACAAACTGGGCCAAACAGTTCAAAAACCAGGGTCTGATAATGTTCCTAGAATGACCAGAAGGGGTCCTGTCAGAGACTAGCCAAGCTTTCCAAGTACAGTAGCTGCTCCAAAAATTTGAGGAATTCTCCAGGACCTCCCTTCTGTTGGCTATGTATTTGTTGTTATTGTTGCTTTTACCACAATTTGGATTACTCCTGCTTTGGTAACATATCAGCACCTTTTACTCAGAATGGCACATAATCCAAACAACCCCACCCTTTTTCAGCAGTTAGTAGTCATAAGGCTCTATTGGATTTTAGGAAAACATTTTTTTATCATCTACAAGAACCAACTTTATTTGGATGCATAGCCAGTCATAACCTATTATTTGCAGATACAACACAGTTAACAAAATGTTTCGTGTTAGAATCTAGTCCTGGGGAGCCACCGTGGCTATCCCTGTAGAAGCATTATGGTTAATATCACCATGAATCCAAAGACAGGAGGGGGCATGGTGACTCCTGTCTCCAAATGTCCCCTGTAGAATTCCTCAAGCTTTAGCCATGCATAGAATTGTTAGCATAGACTCATTAGCGGGAGCAAGGCTGAAGAACTAACTAGTGTCTGTTGTCTCTACATGGTGAGTCAGAGGCTGGTCTGGATGGATATACACAGGTCTCTCCCTCCTCCGGCAGTGCTCCTTGCTTTACACAGGTGTGGTGGATGACACCTGTAACTTAGTGTTTAAATGAGTGCCCATAGTTCAGCCTGATGATTGGTTCTATGGCAGAAGTCGACTCTGTCATATTAACATCTCCTTGGAACCGAATCCAGCGACCTACAGATCCTTAGCCTGTGTGTGTGTGTATGTGTGTGTGAAGAACACCTAAAGAGCTTAAGAAGTGCTTTAACATCCAAGCAAATCCGGCCCTGCCTCTTGGGAACCTGGCACAGTGCATTATTCCTCTGGCTCTGTATGCAGGTGTAAAGGTCCCTTTAAGAGACAAGCTCTGCCCACTCTCTCTCTCTCTCTCTCTCTCTCTCTCTCTCTCTCTCTCTCTCTCTCTCTCTCTCTCTCTCTCTCCTCTCTTCTCTCTTCCCTTCCCTTACTCCCTTCCCTCCCTTCATTTTTCTCAATAAACTTCCTTCCTAGGCATGTTTGTCCCTTGCCTGCCAAAGAGCCCCCTCGAGTAACACTTGCTCTTACAAAGAATAATAATATGATTCAATGAGGCTCCCTTACAGTTCAGACCTTGTAGCAGTCAGTCTGAGGATTCCTAGAGACAGGATCGCCCATTTGGTTTGAGGATTCAGTAGAGGTAAGAGGTCTTTCTTGTGGTTGGTTCTTTTATTTCTCTGACTTTTTAGCTTTCACCCTGATATCCGACTTTGGGTTTTTATTATTAAGGCCAATTAAAATTCATGCTGTAAGACCTCCCTCTAAAATATTTTTTTTCTCCTTGGCCCTTTTAAACTTGTATATGTAACCTTGAATCAGTTAAATAGAAAACCATAAAAAACAGACTTCTAAGGAATTCAAAATGTGGTGCCATCGGGTTGATTTTTTCCTTACTTTGTCTGTGTCCTTATAACTGAAAATAAAAACAAAAACAATACTATCCAGACTTGGTGGGGGTAGAAACAAAGGCAGACCACAGGCATAGGACAAAGAAGCCCCAAGAACAGAAAGGCTATCAGTTAAAGGAAGCAAGCTGGGGTCAGGTCCAAAGGACACTCTGCTCCCCAAATTCTGGCACCCATTTTCAACAGTCTACCAAAGGAGCCATTCCTTATCACTGTAAGAAGGGACAAATGGTTATCTGTTGTGCCTATCAGCATACCAAAGCCCACACTGGCCTCCAGGCTCTCTCTGTACTCATGGTTCTTCTCACTGGGCACCCTACCCTAAATTTCTCTAGCTTCTGGGCTTCCCTTCCCTAGCTTCTCATTCCTATATAACTGCCATTTCAGGCACATGCTCTTGGTCCTCTCTTTGGTCTTCCTCTCTTGGTCCTCTTCATCTTGTCTCCACCACTCCCCCTTCTTATGGCCCAGTTCACTCTGCTGACCACGCTCAGTGTGTTACTTTCTCTCCAAGCTCTGGTCTCTTCTTGATGCCTCTGGCTGTACTCCCTCTCATATCCACATTAAAATCCATCCCCTCAACCATACCTTGGAGTGGTCACATCTTCATTTTATACAGCTGGGAGCTCCAGTAGAAAGGATTCAGCATAGCCTCCATCTCCAGCCTCCTGCTCAAGCAGTGAAGCTAAAGGGCCCTCCCACAGGAATGAACAGCAGCATCCCAGGGGCCACTCTGCACTGGGGGGAAGTGGAGCCCTGGCCTCCCCACATGCAAGGCTGCCTGGGTGCCTGGGGCTTCAGGCTGGAGCTCCCCCTCCTCCTGCCAATGTGGCAGCTTCTACTCAGGTGGCTCCTGCAGTCCCAGTGGTCCTTGAGCCTCAGGGTGTCCTTGCCCAATGCTAACTCACCTAGCAGCCTCAGCAAATGAGATATACCTACTCATGATCAAGGAGAGGTGCCTTCCTCTTCCTTTCTTTCTTGCTTCCCTTCTTCCCTCCTTCCCTGCCAACCCCCTCCCTTCTTTCCTCTCTTCAAGATGCCAACACCATTTTCTTATTCTAAGCTTATGAAAAAGTCTCAGGCCTTAACTGGACCTTTTGTGTCCAAAGAAATCAATGTAAGGGCCAGTAGCTCAGCCCTAGGCCACAGGTGGGACATGTTTCAGGAGTGAAAGTGAGTTTGGAACCTACTTTATCCTGCTCAATCTAGCTCCTTAAAGAAGGTTCTATATAATGACCCTGGAAAAGAGGGTCTCTACTATGATATACAGAGTCTGGCAAACAAACAGGCAGCACATTCACCCGCACATTCCTTCAAAGCAACAACATTCCCTCCCATTGTTTTCTTAATGGACAACCTGTCAGTCTTCTAGGAAGGCTCTTTTGGGGGCACACAGCCCTACCTCAGCCACTTACTCTACTAGAAAGCTCCCTTGGGGCTTGAGCAAAGGCCTCTTCCATGCCATGCTGTAGAACCAGGTTGGGACCTGTGATCTGGTGTAGACTGGGACCTGGTTGGGACCCGTGGTTGGGTGTTGGTGCCCCTCCCTTATCTTGCAATTTACCTGTTGAGTTCTTAGTCTTCAAAAGAATCTTGCCATCGATAAGCAGAAGAGTGTGGCTCACAGGAAGTACCCGGAATACGTGAGAGTGCTTTTATCTCTGTGTGACGACCAGATTAAATGATGTAATAGCATCAAGCCAATCCTGTCCTACTCCTGCAAGAAACCTTCATATGACCCTTGCTCACTTTTGGTTTTTCCCTCTGATGTCAGCTTTAACCACAGAGAGATGTAAGTGTACAGTTGGAAAAACCCTGGCATACACATAGTTCTTTTACAAGTCTCTATCTTCTTTCCTTTAAAGCCAACTTCAAACTCCTTTAGAGATGTACATTTTGTATTTGAATGAGTCTACTTAACTGTTAAATAATTCTCAGACTGTTGAGTGTCCATGGAACTTGGAAAAATGTTTTCTGTTTTTTCCATGACCTGGCACCGTGGTATGTGTCTGTTAGGTAAGTACACACTTGTGCTCCGCAGCTACTGGAAGAATTCGAAAAAAGCCCCTACTCCGGAATAGTGCACAAACAAAAGGCTCTTGTGGCCTGGAGCACCGTACTCTCTCTCTCTTTCTCTCTCTCTCTCTCTCTCTCTCTCTCTCTCTCTCTCTCTCTGGGTATGTGTGTGTGTGTGTGCGTGTGTGTGTATACAGGTACATATGCATGCCTTTGCACATAAGCATAAATGGGAGGTCAGAGGTCAACATCAGGTTTTGTCCTTCAAAATGTCATCTACCTTGTTTTTGAAGACAGGGGCTCTCACTTCTAATTTTTTTTCAAGAAGATTTTTATTTATTTACCTATCTGTTTATTTATTGGGTGTACAAGTGTGTGCTCATGAGTTCATGTGTACCATGTATTGCAGGAGCAGGAGGAAAGAAGAGGGCATTGGATCCTCCTGAAACCGGAGCGATGTTAGAAACTGAGCCCAGGTCCTCTGCAGCTGCGGTATGATAGCTAATCTGGTTGTCAACTTGACTACATTTGGAATCAACTAAAACCCAAGAAGCTGACCACATCTGTGATCATGATTAGATTATTTGAGGTAAGAAGATACATCCTAAACCTTAGTCAAACCCTCTGGTGGCTTTATCTAGTGTGAGACCCTTTCTCCACCTGGCTTAAGACCTGTGCCCCCTCCTGTTGGGAACTTGAATCCTTTTGGCTCTACCAGGTGGCCTAGAGAAACTACACACAAACACACATACACACACACACACACACACACACACACACACACACACCACCGCCACCACAACAGCAGCAACAACAAAACAAAAACACCCTCCACCTGTCCCCCCCAGGAGAATGAACACTTGCTTGTTTTGTTGCTTGACTCCTGTTCACAGTCAAGGTTGGTCCTTGTGTGGAGGTGGGAGGGGCTGGGTCTCTCATCCAGGCCCTCCCTGCCATCTAAGGGCAATGCCCACAGGAGGGGTAATAGTTCCTCCAGGTGAGCATTCCCTCTGCTCCCTGTTTGCTCTAAGCAGCCCTGGGAAGGAGACAAGTTCCCCTGGACTAAGCTGAAGGAAAAGAGAAATTTCCACTCTTTTCTTTTTCATGATTTATGTCACTTTTTAAATCCAAGAATCCATATATAATTGGAAAAGCCCATCACTATCTTAAAAAAAGAAAGGAATGGACATTCAACACACAATTTGACATGACAGTTCCCCTTGAGATGAACTTTCTTCTCACTAGAAAGAGAGAGAGAAAAAAAAGAAAGAAAGGAAGGAAGAAAGGAAGGAAGGAAGAAAGAAAGGAAGGATGGAAGAAAGAAAGGAAGGACGGAAGGAAGAAAGAAAGAAAGGAAGGAAGGACGGAAGGAAGAAAGAAAGAAAGAAAGAAAAGAAGGACGGAAAGAAGAAAGAAAGTCACTCACACACATTGGGATTATCTTTACTTCTACCATTTGTGCATGGTGAGCTGTCTGAAGCCCAACTCTCACCCTAAATGGCATACCACAGTCATTGAGAAATGCACTATGGGTAGAATGCCACTAAGGACCCTAAATGGTTACTGAATGATTCACACAGAAGAAATCTGTATGATACTGCAAAAACTTTGAGAGCTAAGCTGCCAAGGAATCAAATAGGATGTTGAAATCTGAATCTAATGAGGTTGATTATTTGCTAAATTAAAATAAATTAATAAAACTTAATAATTAATAAGATTCAAGGCTCTTATGAGGTACCAATTAAAGCTACCAAGGGACCTAAGGATGTATTATAATTTAGTTGGTAGAATGTCTGCCTAGGATATATGAAGCCCCTACTTGGCCACCAGATTCACATAAATTGGGTATGGTGGTGCCTACTTATTTCTAGCACTCAAGAGGTAGATGCAAAAGAATCAAAAGTTCAAGGTCATTCTCTACTCCATAGTGAGTTTGAGGTTTGCATGGATTACATGATATCCTGTCTCTAAAAACTAAATCAATTAACCAGTCAATAAATCACAGTTGTGCATGGTAGCTCATACCTATAATCTCAGCACTCAGTACTTAGGAGGTTGAGGCAGGAGGACTTCCATCTATTTGCAGCCAGCCTGAGTTACACAGTAAATTCCGGGACAGCCTAGGACAGAGTCAGACTTTATCTAAGAGAAAGAAAAAAATGTTGATTTGAATAAAACCTAATATTATTGCCAGGTGTGTTGTGTATGACTTTACTCCTAGCACCCAGGAGGCAGAGTCAGGCCAATGGCGTTCACAGCCAGCCTGGTCTACAAAACTAGTTCTAGGCCAGCTAGAGTTACACAGTGAGACCCTGTCTTGAATAAAAATGAAAAGCAAAAACAATGAGAAACACCAAAAATATTGTTAGATTAAATTATTTAAATAAATTGTAAGAATAAGATGAATTTTCCATTTATTTGATCTTGGTCCAAGAAGTATTTATGTTTTATTAAAGGCAAAGCTGCATGACCAGAGCCACCAGAAAAAAAACAAGAGTGCCATCTACTGGTCAGTATATTAGCTAACAGCATGGTGAAGCTTGAGGTTGTGTGCCTCAGGTATAGATTATATAAACTATGAAAGAAGGATGAAATAAAAAATTGAGATACATGGTTATGAAATTTTCTAGGAAACTGAAAAATATATACTCAAAAGTTCTCACAAAGTATATTGGTAATTGTAGAAAAAAATGGTATAGAATATTTTTTCAGTTCCCATGCTTCTTTTCCAGAGTAGAAATGAAACATGGATATCAACAACCATGATATATGCATATATATATGTGTGTGTATATACATATGTGCAGTATGTTTAGAATCATTCAATATTTCAAGTTATTTTAGTATGTTGAAATTTGCATCTTTGTAATGTGGTAGTCTAGTTAGGGTTTACCAAAAGGTCTTACACATACAACTTTCATTCTTATGTCCTTTCAGAAAAAATAAACAACAGTAACAGCAAGAGCAATAGTTAAGTTGATGTTATTTTTAGTTATTGTTCTTTTAGTTAGTAGAAAGACACTGCCATTAGTTCATCTCTAACACAAGAGTTTGGTGCACATCAGAAATAACAATGTAAAGACTCAAAATTTTGATCCTGGAATCATTTTATCACAACTCTAAAGAGAATTGAAGATCAAAGTCCTGAATCCACAAAAGGCAGTGGTTCTCAAAATGTCACTACTTTTGCAAGCCTATGTCTCCAAAATTTTCTATTATGATTCATAATAGTACCAACATCACAGATATAAAGTAGCAACAAAAATAATTTTATAGTTGAGGGCCACCACAACATGAAGAACTGTATTAAAGGGTCACAGCATTAGGAAGGCTGAGAAACCACTACACAAAAGGGAAGGAGAAGCTGACCACGTATGGTATTTTTAGCATTTCTAAAAATCAATTCAATGCACATTTATTGAAGGTTCACTGAAAGCATTGGAATAGCAGTGAAGATAAGCATTCAAGTTCCTGCCTTATGGGACTTATGCATTTTCTGTGTTACTTAAACAGTGGGGATTTTTACCTCTTCCCTTGATCATTTCTGGCAGTCAGGAACAAAGGAGAATTTCCATAAACCTGGAAAAAGGGCCTCAGAGAATCCGAAGGAAGCCTTGGGGAGGGTGGAGATGTGTGAGCCAGTGGTTACATTGTAAAAGGACACAACCCCAGCCTCATAGTCTAGGAAAACTCCCACAAGCTGGCCTTCTCACTCAGACAAAGGGGAGTAGGAGTGGAAGTGGGAGCTACAAGGCCATTCTCTTCACACATCTTGATGGTCCAGAATTCCAGCTCAGGCTTCTTCTTGTCAAAGTCCCTCAGCACATCCTCTATAAAGACTCCCACATCCCAAGTGCTTGCATTCTCAACAGATACTTCGAAGTAATCTCTTCCTAAAGTAAATTTTTCACTGCCAAATCTCTTAGCAGAAGCTTCAAACTTCTTGTGACATTGTCTGTAAATCACTTGTCTTTGATCTTTAGACAGAGTTAGGTCACGATGAGCTGTGCTGGGGTCCAGAGTCACACTGAATGTAAGACAACCACAACCAGTCTTTTGTGAGCTGAAAACACAATACTTTACAAAGAATCTGTGCTCAAATCTGGGCATAATTTGAACATTTAAGCCCTAGCTATGTAAACTAAAATAAAATACCTATAAAGGGAAGGTCATTATGCCTATTGTAGACATCAACAAGGAGAGTTAAATAAGTTAATGTTTGTCTATGGTACATGCCTATTAAGCAGTGGCAACAATACCATCAACCCCAACATCTTGGGTCATTCAGAGATGCCAAGGATCAGAACTATTTATGTCATTCTGGTTCTATTATGCCTCAAACCCTGCTGAATTTGGAACTTTTAGGATTTCTGACATTGATCATAGAGCATAAAGGAACCCTTTACACGAACACTATCTCAAAATAAAAGAAAAGAAAACACAAATAAGCAGAAAGCACAAGTAAAATAATCTCCAGCCGAAACAAAACAAGTAACTTTCCCAAACTTTTATTGACAAAGGGTTTTGAATATTGTTATCATGGACAAGAAGCTATAGGACGTAGCAAGCACTGAGCAACAGTACTGAGCAGGAAGCTTATTCACTGGGATCAGTAGCACTTCATTTTGTCTTGTATCTAACATGTGCATTCATTATCTGAGAAGAGTCCCTGTCTTAGTTAGGGTTTTTCTTGCTGTGGAGAGACATCATGGCCACAACAACCCTTATAAGTGAAAGCATTTTATTGTCATGGTTCATTTACAGTTTCATAGAATCAGTCCATTACCATTGTGGTAGGGAACATGGAAGCGTGTAGGCAGATATAATGAGGGAGAAATAGCTGAAAGTCCTACGTCTTGCAGGCAACAAGAAGTCGACTGACAAACTGGGCAGTATCCTGATCATAGAAAAACCTCAAAGCTCACCCCCACAATGACACACTACCTCCAACAAGGCCATACCTACTCTGGTAAAGTCACACTTCCTAATAGTGTCATCACTCCCTTTGGGAATTATTTTCTTTCGAACCACCCCATTCCCTAAAATCATTTCCAGCATACTACATATCGATTAGTTACTGTGTGTGGTGTTTGAGTGAGAATGGCCCCCATAGATTCATATATTGAAATATTTGATCCCCAGTTGGTAGAAATGACCTAGTTGGAGGATAGGCTTTTGTCGCGTCTGCTGCGCGGCCTGTGTCCGAGAACGTGCGGAGGGTGTCGGGGATTGACAACACAGAGACTCGTTCAACGATGTAAAGAAAACTTTAAGCAGGCTCCAAAAAGGTTCAAGAAAACTTCCCAAGAAAGGCTCCCACCAGAGAAGCTTCTGCTCTCTCTTCTCTCCTGGCTGGTTCTGCTCTGACCCTAGAAACTGATCTGGGCGTGGCAGAAGAGGCGGTTAGTCTCTGGACAAGGTCGAGCTCAGGGTGGTTTCTGCGGGCAGGCCTTTTCCAGGAACTTAATGCCCTCAGGCATTGTATTGTTTTTAGTATACATTGTCTTACAGCTGCCTACTCCCAGGCAGAAGGGGAAGTGGGTCTCTGCTCAAGGTCTGGTGTTCCCACAATTCACCCCTTTTTATTTTTAAATGAGGCACTCCTGGCTTAGGTCAAGTAGGGTCACCCTCCCTTTCCCGTCCTTGGGGGACCTTGAACCCCTGTCTTAGGCGGGAGGGGTCTTCCCCACAGGTGGCCCGTCATCAGAGCACCCCAACTTTAAATCATCTGTAACCAACCTTCATGGCTATCGGGATTGCCATGGGCTAGGCTAAGCAATACTTGGTTACGGATCTCTTGCCTCTGGAACAAGGCACGTTTGAGCCCGGCATAAAGCCAGAATGCCTACCGCCACTGCCACCATTTCCAGGACCCCCATTGACATAGCGCCTCTCCATCACCGTACCCATCACCAGATCTGGGCCATAACATTCTACCAGCCTTCGTCTGTTACAAGGGTAACCCACACGTGATTTACATTCTGTTACAAGGGTAACCCGCATGTGATTTACATTTACAATTTGATGAAGTTTACAATTGTTCCAAGATCTGCTCAGGAAAGCATTTAGAAAGTGCACTTGCACAGATACATTAGGTACAATCATTGATGTTACACATGTAGCATTATGAAAAATATGAACAATAGGCTTGTTGCACTATCCACAGAGCACCAATTTGTTCCTGTGGTGATGCAGTTTGTTGATTTAACGTCAGCTGATTATGCGACTTGAGTCAAAGTCTCCTTTTTGTCGCATTAGGACAAGTTGCATCTCTCTAGAAAAATACACTGGCCTAGTCGTGATTCCAGAAACAGGAACCATCAAGTCTGATATTTCAAGTGACCATGTCCTGTTCAATTACTGAAAAGAGGCTTTTGCCCCTCATCACAGTCCATACGAATGTCCAAAGGTTTTAAATGGGTCCTTTTTTCTCTATTGGCTTCATGATGAAAACTCATGGGTCCGGAAGGTTGATGCAGCAGGTCTGTTGAGAAACTGGAAATCTCGAACCGACTGTTTTCTTTCTTTCTTGGGCTCTAGATTCGATGACAGCAAGGGTCAGGAACACTGATTTAGGAGATCTCACTCAAACTGGCTTAGGTAGGCTCCCATGGTCTCAGGTCCAGTTTTTCTCTGCTCCATGTCGAAGCTTTTATTCTTTTCCTACAAGAAAACACAAACATGCCCTCGACCCCAAATTAGGGTCTTCTCCACTGTTTAGTGCATGGATGTCTCCATTTGACCTGAGCAATGGTTGCTCAAGTTCCATCATGCCAGAATCTGTCTGAAGCTCACTGGCATTCACATTATAAAATTTTTAAATGAGGAGTGTATTATTTGATGAGTCATATGGGGACTGGGGACATTATTCCCCCTTTTTTATTTTCTAAAAAAATTTTTTTTGAACTGTTGAAGCTGGACCATAACAGTAGAAGGATTTGTCTACCCTCCTTGGTTAACTATCTAGGTAAATTGGGATTACTACTTAGATTATTTGTAGATGCCCATTAAAAAGGACATATCCATTAAATATTTCCCAAAAACTTCTGAAAATCACTCAAAGATTGTAAACTATAATGTGTCCAAATAACTTTTGAAAATTATTTGAAGTCTGTGAGCAGTCTTTCCCAATCTAACCTGTAGAGCTCTCACTAGCTGACAAGGCCTCATTTGCATCTTAAATTTTTCTGTTAAAACATTAACAGACTGGCTGGATGTTCCTTTTGTCTATATTTAAAGCAATCTAGGTAGCTTCTTAACTATTTTTGAAGGGATTTAAGTATCCTTTTAATCATATAAGCAGTTCACACTCATGCATTCACAATCACATTTCATACATACCGGTGTGGCCACACCATACATTCAGAACATACATGCATCTTTCAGTCATCCTTTTTCCCTAGGTCATGATTAGTCTGTTGCAATGAAGCTTCCTTAATTGAAATCTATGTAAAAGAACAACTCCAGCCAATCCTTGAACTAAGAGGTTAAAAAGTCCTGTATGTTCTCTATCATTCCTCCATTTGAGCTACAGTCATGGGGTACAGCTGTACCTACTCCTTGTAACTGTAGATGCAAGGTAGAGAGGCCAAGCTTTTGGCCAAAAGTTTTTAGAGATGACTCACAAAATAGAACTTAAATGTAAACAAAATTTTTCCATTGTATATACCTTTGTCTTTTCTTTTTCTTTACTTAATACCAGTACCTCTTTACTGTTACAAATTTTTTTTCACCCATTTTTTTTTTTAAGTCAGGGTTTCTCTGTATTGTTTGAGGCTGTCAGTCCAGCCTGGCCTCGAACTCACAGAGATCTGCCTGCCTCTGCCTCCCAAGTGCTGGGATTAAAGGCGTGTGCCACCACAGCCCAGCTTGTTACCAATTTTTTTTTTCTCTGTATTATTTGGAGGCTGTCTTGGAACTTGCTCTGTAAACCAGGCTGGCCTTGAACTCAAGAGATCTGCCTGCCTGTGTCTCCCGAGTACTGGGATTAAAGGCGTGTGCTGCCAACGCCCGGCTATTCACCCATTTTAATCCAACTTTCAACCCAGGATGTTCCCTCATAAAGGCGTGTTGGGATTAAAGGCGTATGCCGCTGGTATTAAAGGCGTATGCCGCTGGCAATCTCTTGGGTTTCCCTACTTCTTGACCCTGGTATCAGGCTTAGGAGGGGGAAACTCAGAATGTCTAGTTTCTGACTTTTTAATCTCATTGGCGGCAGCCGCTCCCAATGTATTATTGGTGTTTTAAAATTTGATGAACAGGGAGCTGGAATGACTAACTGGCATCAACATGGGGGGGAATACTCACCAACGCCCATATTTCCCTTACCTGAGTGTTCAGCAATGGTTGGATCATCTTTATCATGGTGAGCATTCCTAGTATCCGGAGTAGTATTGGGGTTGACATGCCTGATGCACCGTTCGGGGACCCAAATGGGCTTCTCACTTCCTGGAGGGAAAACACAAACAGCCCCTCGGACCCTAGCTAATAGGGGGGTGGGTGGCTGCCATTTTCCTGTAATTAAGTCCTTCCATCTGACCCATCCCAAGGACTGGGAGGGTTTGTTCCAATGTCTCTCCATAGCAGACAAATTATTATGGTCTATGGTCAAAAAATTTAAAATGTAAAGTATGGTGGATAACTGAATATTGGGGGAGGTAACATACTCCCCCTTTTTTATTTTCTTAAAATACTGTTTGAGAGTGGCATGGGTGCGCTCCACAATAGCCTGTCCCGTGGGGTTGTGAGGAATACCAAAAGAATGGACAATGTGATGTTCCCTGCAAAAGGCAGCAAAGCGATTGCTGGCATAGGCAGGGCCATTGTCCGTTTTTAGGGCATCGGGTACGCCCATGTAGGCAAAGGCCTGCAGGCAATGAGAAATAATATCTTTAATCTTCCTTCTCTCCTGAGTGGAGAGAAGCAAAAATCAGTTTAGAATACGTATCCACAGAGACATGCATATATTTTAATTTCCCTGCCTGTGGCAGGTGAGTGACATCCATTTGCCAGAGATGGTTGGCCCTGAGGCCCCGGGGATTTACCCCCTCATTGGGAGAATTATGATAAGGGGCACAATCAGGGCACTGAGAGGTAATCTGTGTAGCTATGGATAAGGGGCACCCAGTGTGAAATTTAATGGAGCGGGCATTTAGATGATACCTCTCATGGAGCTGGTGGGCCAGCTGCTCCTGAGTAAATAAGACCCTAGGGCGGGTCAAGGAGTCAGCAATTTCATTGCCCTGGGCAAGGGGTCCTGGAAGGTTAGTATGTGCACGAATAAATCCCACATAAGCAGGGTGGATGCGCTGCCAAATAAGATGTTGGAGCTGAACTAATAAGGAACGAACCTGGGAGGTTGGAAGAACATATGGAGAAGTTTCTAAAGGTCTAACAATGTTGGCAACATAAACACTATCAGTATATAAATTAAAGGGCTCTCCCTCAAACATTTGGAAAGCCATCAAGCAAGCAAACAACTCGGCGGCTTGTGCTGACATCTGTCCTGTGGGTACCCTACTGAACGAGTTCCAGGACAGGCTCCAAAACAATACAGAGAAACCCTGCCTCGAAAAACAAAAACAAAAACAAAAACCTCCAGCCCATGGCATGATGCTGCCCACATTCAGAGTGGATGGACCTTCCTTCCCCCATTTACTTCACAGGGAGAAACTGAGAGACTGGTGTTGTTTGCAAAGACATAGCTAATATAAGAAAAGCAGGACCTAGATAGGTCTGTACAGAGCTGTGCATAGTATGAAAAACATGCTATATAATAAACATGCTAAGAAGCAAGAGTGTGACAGCTCCTCAAAACCAAGTGAGCAACCAGATCTTCAGATGTGAGTAATATCCTGGAGCAACTGTAGAAACCAGAAAATTTAAAACGGACCATTTCTTGGATGTTTGAATAGAGAGGGGAATAGCTGTGCATAAGTGATCTGATTGGGGAAAAGGGAAAAGGGGCTCTTTGGGGAGGGATGAGGGAGGTAGATCCAGAAGAGGAAGGGAGGATGGCAAAATGACAGTAAAGAGGTCTTACAAAAGTCAAAAGGAGTCATACCATTAATTATCTTTAATTAAAAAACCCTGTAATATAAGTAATTCTGTGTAGAAGTATAGATACATAGTCTGAGTGAACTTTTCTCATCTCTGTTGACAATGTTTCCTTCAAAAGTCAGAATAGTCTAATAAAACCCACAATTCCAGACATGAGAAGCTCTCTTGAGTTATTGGTCAGGGTAGGCCAAAAGATTTCCAAAGCATGCAGCCTATTGCTGTTGCCCTTTGTTGTTCCCCACAGGTGCAAGGTAAGTCCCTATTGTTGAAGGCACCATGAACTTCAGACACAGCGATCAGAGGCCCTGGTCTGCAACTGACCTGACTGCCTCCTCCCTAAGGACTAGCTTGCACAGTACCAGAAGGTGTCATGCAAGCTTACAAAGGAAGGAAGCAACCAACAACCAGCTATGATGCCTCTGAACCAAAACAATGACCAACATTGCACAATGACCATAGGGTGTAGTAGTGGCACATACACCTTGGTAGTAACCAACAGCTCTCTAATTGGACTTAAGACCCATTCAACAACAGGGAAACCATGCCTAGTACTGGAAACTCAGCCAACTACTCAGTATTAGTGAAGTCATGGACCTCACCAATTTCCATATTCCCTTACCATTGTCTTCTCACTATGAGAATCAAATGCCTTGTTTCCAAACTCCTAGCCCACACCTTTACCTGTAGTATTTTCCTGGGTGAGCCCTGACAGTTTTCCTCCAGTTCTTGAATTTGGCTTTCAATTTTCTCATACTTCTGCTTTAGATTGGCCTCATAGCCCTTCAGTCTCCCCCGCACCTGTTCTTCTTCATTCTCCAACCTCCAAAAGTAAGACTTCTCTTCTTCACGTAGAAAACTCTGGAGATTATTAAAGCTAGACTGGATTCTTTGCGTCCGATCCTCTATGGCAGCCTAGAGTCAATGAAAACTGATTAAAACATGGGAACACAACCATCTTTGAATTAACCACCAACTGGATAAACAAAATGTGATATAGAAAACTCAACAAGGAGGAAACTTGACATCATGCTAATTGAAATAAGTACAAAACTTGGGGAATAATACTTTTACAATTCTTTTACTCAAATCACTGGCTGCGGTAAATTTCATAGACACAGATCACAGTGGTTATCAGGCATTGGGAGACAGGAGAATGGCGGTTCCTGTTTCAGTTTGAAACTTAGAAAAATGTTCTGGAGATGAATATGGTGATGGTTATACAACAGCAGTCACAAAAAGCTCTAATGTCCTCAGCTGTATAGTGAACCATGGCAAATAGTTAACCAAGGCAAATCTAATGCTACGGACATATCACCATCACCAAGCCTCCCCCCCCCCCACCCCCAAAAGAAAGGAGGATCAGCTACACTGAGGTAAGTTCCCAATGAGCCACTCAAGCTGAAAGAATGCTTTAAGTTCCTACCTGGCACTCAGAGGTTGGTGGAGATATTATCCCTAATTCCTTAATTAATTTAATTCCTGATTACTTTTTCTTCTGGTTCAACCACGATATGGGAGAAAGGTGGGGTGGGAACTCTGGAAATTTGAATTACAGAAGCAGGGCATTGTTCAAATACTTTACCAGTTGTAAGGGGAAACACAAATTTGTATCTGATGACTGAAAAGGTATCCTTGAGGCAGATGGAATTCCTTGCAAGCTGTGAAGAATATCACTAAGAAGAATTGTAAGACAACTACACTGGTACAGGAAACATCTCGATTCCTGGAAAAGGAGGTACTAGTGTGGCTGGGTTTTGATAGGGCTGGGGACCATTACCCAGAAGCCCAGGGTAATGGTCCCCAGCCATTTTGACTTTCACTTTGAAGTTGAGACTTGAAATGTCCATGAATGCTCTCTGAAGCTGCTTCACTGACTACCATGCTGTGATAGAAAGGTCATTGATTTAAGATGAATGGACATTGTATGTAGGAGACAAGCACAGCTTTAGCCTTGATACAGATGAGGTTTTCCATGTATCGTAGATACAATTGGTTTCCTTCATTTCCCACAATCCAGAAAGAAGGGAAGTAAAGGAAAACATATTCAGGAAGTTCAAGTTATACATGGGTATGTAAAGGAAGCTGAGGGACGAAATGGCACTAGCTGTGGAAACTGACTAGAGAGTAATTGTTAAGTCTCAAACCCAGGGTAATTGGCTAACTGGGGTGCCTATTTAACATATCAAAGTGGACCTGGCCTCCAGGTTCTTCTAGCATCCCTCAATCTCTACCTGTTACAGGGTCCTTTTGGCTGGCGTATCCGCCCTTACCCTAAACTTCTGCAACCCAGAAAAAAGGTCATATGAGAAATGTTCATGTGGATTCAAGTTATATACAATCACAATGACAAGGCATGCCTGGAAACACTATCTGAATAACAATTATAAGATAATGGGAAATCTGAAATAAACCCACTCCTATTTACTACACCTGGGAGGGGCAGGAAAATACATTCCAGGAACAATCCTGTGTGGAGTGCTAAGGTCACAAGACTCTCACAAATGCTTAGTGTTATCTTACAAGTACTCAGAATTCTTCTTAAACAGCATCATCCATGGACAGTGTTCCACCACTCACTCAGGCATCAACTTTCTCACTTGCTATGATTGTCAGAATTCAGCTCTTGACCTCACCAGGCCAGAAACCAGTCTTTGAGAGAATTCAGCAAGCACTCCAGGTTGAGTAACATGAGGGCAGAAAAGGAAACCTATGTGATTTCTGAGACACGGGGTTATTGCTGTGAAACCTGCAGACCACTGTCAGAGGCCTCCACCATAATTTAGCCATAGCACCATCACCCTTCCCTCATAGGGAAGGCGTGACTCCAGGCTACATTGCAGAAATACCACTCTTAAGATAGGAAGCAAGTTCCGAGAAAACAGACTTATGGCTTATCTGCCTAGTGTAAATTACCAAACCACTAGGGCGTAGGCTTGGACAATAGAGGGTAGATTGTGAAAGACAGGTTACCAGAGGACACAGGAGGACCCGCCCCTCCCACTGACCTCTTGCCCTGCCAGCTTCCTTGCAGCTGCAATACACCCCCCCATTCCTCTCCCTCCTCCCTTCCCCCATATAAATCCCTTTGGGATGAAATAAAGGTTGTCACCTTGATCAGATTCCTGTGTTGTCATCCTTTCTCGTATATCCTGTCCCCCATCTTTCTCCTAGGTGTCTCCCAGTCCCCACGTTGAATGTCCCATGGGTTGGGGCAGACCACAGCTGCAGATCATAGGGCTTCAGACATTTCCATGGCTGATTGTGGAGACTGCCTACATGTCTGAAATACCTTCTTTCTGGAATTATATATAATATCCATTACTTAATGAAAAAAAAACAGATAAAAAGGGAAGGGCATGTCTGCCCCTAGATACAGTACAGAAGAAGGTTTAATGTGGATATGAGAAACTGTATAACAAGAGGCAGAGACATCTAGGAGAGTCCAGAATGAACATGATCCATGTGATGGATCTTGTGGAGAGCAAGAGAGTCAAGAGAGTAGAGGGTGGACAAAAATATCCAGGCAACCAAAAAGGTTGCATTATGTAGGGATAAACACAAATATAAACTGGCAAAATATAATATAAATTATATAAAACTATTATATAATTATTAAATTTAATATAAATAAATTAAAATATAAACTGTCTGATGCTCTAAATAAAATTGGCTATTGCATGAGACTTTAGTCCACTTCGTTTTTAGGCTCCATTCTTCCAGGTTCCACCTCTCTCACAACACGGACACTAGAGTACCAGGTTAATGCATTTAAAATGTGAAACAAAGTGTGCCACAGAGTAAATCAGTATTATTGAGTATTAAAGATGAAAGTCTTGAGGCTGGAGAGATGGCTCTACAGTTAAGAGGGAGCACTGCTCTTACAGAGGACTTGATTTTGGTTCCCAGGACCAAGGTGGTTCATAGTTACCTGTCACAGTAACTCCAGGAGATCTGAAGTCCTCTTCTGACATCCTTGGGTACCTGAACTCACACACACATACACACACACACACTTAATTTTTTAAATAAAATAAAATATTTTAAAGAATGAAAATCTGGACCACATACTAGGTAAAATGGGTATGAGACAAGGGGTAGATATTGGTATGGTACACCTAAGTATGGTGGTAACAAGTTCATATCTTAGAAAGGAGGCTAAGTCCGAGGAAACTGAGAAGCCAGTTTAGCTTCTGACTGGATTATCAGAAATCCCATCCAAATGGGAGGACTTGGTGACAAAATTTCATGGATGTGAACAACTAGGCTATGAAAACAGTACTGTGTTCTTTGGGTTTCCTCTGTATCAGTGACAACGAGCCATCCTGTGTTTCTCCCGGGCTTCCTCTATGCCTCGACTCACAACAACAACAACAACAACAAAAATCAACGAACTTAGATTCTTACCTTCCAGGTATTTATTTCATCTGTCATGAGATATATCTGAAATTTGTGATCTTTTTGGAGCTCATTCGGTTTTGTCACAGTATTGTCAAGCTTTTCCTAATGGAAAAATAGATTCATATCAATCTTGTTTTCATTTTAAAGCAGGGTTTGATATGGCCCAAAAGATCTTGATCTCACTGAGCAGCCAAAGATGGTCTTGAACTTCCTGCCTTCACTGTCTGAGCACATGGAACATACATGCACCACCATACCCTGCTTTATGCAGCATTGGTGAACATTGAACTCAGGGCTTTGTGCAAGCTGAGAAAGCACACTGTCAACCTAGCTACATTCCCTCATCCTCAAATTGATTTTCCACTAAACACTTAATATGCATCTCAGTACTCTAAAACATGGTAAAATCACAGTGAATAGCTACTGAACTTTTAACAAATCTCTCAGAGGGCATGCTGAAAGTTGCATATATGGTAACTTACTGAGTGCCTTAGCAATCCTCACAGTTGGTAGGATTCTTAACTTTGTTGCTGTGCTATGGGGAATGAGGCTTAGAAAGGGGTCAAGTAACTCGCCTCAGGAGCCATAACTGGGAATTTCAAGAGTAAGTAGAGTTTGGAGAAAAGAGGGGTCTGGAGGATGGCACCAAGAAACCAACTTCAAGGAATTAGTGTCCTTGTCAAGCTTCTCTCCCATTCTTAGGTTAATTTCCAATGTGGTTTCTCATATTTTTACTGAGAGCAATTTGAGGCTACCAGAAACTGCCAGTAAGGATCAAAGACAAAATAGTTGACTTCAATCCTCTGTAAATTCCACAGATGTGTTTGCATTAATTTCCAAGGGATCTCACAGAAAGAGTCTGTGGCTGATTTAGAAAAAACACACTATTGCCTTTGCTATAGTCACATGCTGTTCTAAACTTTATATAGTGTAATAATATCTATTAAAAAATACAACCCACGGCATATGTGCTGTGCTGAGGACTTCAATGCTATCACATCTGTTTACAGATAGAAATAACAAGATGGGAAAACTTTAAGCAAATTAGCACAGTTATCTATCTGCTCAGTGCCCAGGTTAAAGCTCCACCCTGTCAGTCTGCCTCTGTGACTGGTCACTGTCATCCTGTTTTGCTCCTTTTCTTACTACTCAGTGGAATAATTCTCCAAATAGCCATCTCTGCATTTCAGTTGTTCATGGGAGGCTAAAGAAGAGCCCTGTGTGCTGAGTGGCAGTTGGCACTGATCTAATCCTTAGGAAAGACCTGAGGCCTTTTATGAGACTGTGCTTCATGGAAGAGAACATGAGGAACCCACACCTAGTATGTCTTCCTGCAAGTCACAAGAATGGACTAGGATCAAGACAGCAGTCAGGTGTGGTGGTATATGCCTTTGATCATCACAGCACTGGGAGACAGAAGCAGGGAGAGCTCAAAGCCAGCCTGGTCTACATAATAAGTTCCTGATAGCCAAGGGCTATGTAGAGAGATCCTGTCTCAGAAAAACAAAACAACAACAAAAATCAAAAAACAAAAGGACTGACCCTGTCTCTCCACAAGTCAGAGGAGAAGGCCCTGTGCTCTCAGAGAGGACCTAGGCCATCCTCCCTCCACATAAATACCACAAGCATTTATTTTCAGATCTTTGATTCTTCAGGAATTTTGTTTGAGCCTGCCCTCTCACACTCTTTATTATGAAGATTATTTAAAAAGTCCCCTTGATGTTTTTATTTTACAGCACCAGATCTCCTCAGTGTCTCTGGCCCTTCACTTTCCAAATGAACAGTCCTCCATAGTACGTACCACTTGGCCTAGGATTTAGAATTGGAAGTGGTGGGAAGGGTCTGGGCTTTGGCTTTCTTTCCTGTGTAATCACCTCCCTTTCCTCCACAGGACTGCTTGGCTTGGCCATGATAATCAGGAAGCTCCTATGGTATGGCTTTGCTTGGGTAGAGTCTCTCCTACAATCTTGGTGGGTAATGATGATGACGATGATAGGCTTTTATGTGGGTCCTGGGATCTGAACTTGAGTCCTTGTTACACAGCAATTCTCATAAGAGAATGGACACTTTTAGGGGTCCCCAACCATTATACTCACCTTATAGCCCTGGTACTTATCTTCCACAAGAGCCACAGAGTGACCTTTGTGCTGAGCCTGCCAATTATAGCGTCAGCAGAGGAGCTGACCCTCATCTTCACAAAAGAGATCAAGCTTCTCATCATGATCCTCACACAGCATATCATCATCTTTCCCTTCCATCTCCTTGATGACATCAATTATGTTTTCCAGCTCCTTGTTGGGCTGGAGGTTCTCTAAACTAAATGGACTCCTACACAAAGGACAGTCCAGCATTATCTTCAGTTCTGTCTTTGGGATGACTTTGTTATAGTAGCTCTGTATGCAGGATTTGCAATAGCTATGTCCACAGTTTATACTCACTGGGTGAGACATTAGTTCTTTGCAGTTGGAGCAAGAAGAGACTTCTATCATCTTTAGTGTGCTAAAGTTTAAGCCCATGACTTTTCCTGAGAAGTTTCCAAATAAAGCAAATAAAAGTGAAGAAATAATTTTCACAATGCTAGATGTATAGCTCACCTAAACTCAAGTGCAGTCACTGGCAGCTACTGCTTTTGGAGGTTTGAAGTCTCTAGAAAAGAGAAACAGATTGGAATCGAGAGGATGCAAAAATGACCATGGTATTTACATAATAGCTACTATCCCCTTTGGCCATTTACATTCAACCTAATAAAAGTGTAATCATTTTAAAGTCCAGTCTTATTGGACACAGTCCATTTTCCTAATTGTTACACGAAGCTGGTGATGACATGATAACCCAGACACAGAATAGTCCATTTTTGTCCAGTGTTCTCTTGTGCCATGTGCTGAGAAAGGCAGAGGCAAGACTACTTCTTCTCAGAAGCTGAACTTAGCTACAGAGTGTAAAAAATTTTCCCATTCTAATGAGCTCAGGAATAGTGCCATAGCTGTCATTATTTACAACTGTTGGGATATTCAACCTCTCTACCCAACCATATTTTGGATTAGAGATGGATTAGTTGCCTGATTGTCCCCTCTATGTATCTTCACTGACCTCCCAGCTCTAGCCCTGCATGCATCCCATACCCAGTGTCCTAGCCTAGTCTGGCCAGCCCTACCTTTGTCACAATCACCCTCTAAGCTTCTACCAGGAAAGGCCCTGTCTGCCCCTGACCCATAGGCTCCTCCCACATCACATCTGGCTTCTCCACTCAGATAGATCCTGCACATCCTTCTCCATGGTCTAGACTGGTAGGTCTGCCTAAGCTGTCCCTTCACATACACTCCTCGATACCCAGATCTATCCCCCAAATCCAGGATTGGACCAGGACATATCCTGCATACCAGCTCAGTCCGTGTGTCCATTTGACTTCATTTCATCTAAACTATATCCAACCTCTAGGCCTAACCCAACACACACATTCTTTCATCTGCCTGTATCATACACAGACCTAACAAAAAAAATTTCACATACCCAGATCACATTGCAAAATTGCAGATAACATGGAACATCAAGGCTGTAACTCCCCACCCCCCAAAATCTCACTGTTCATGGATAAATGTTTGCCAATGAAATTTTCCTAACTGAACCTCTAGACACAGAATTTAAAAGAACAATCATGAACCTTATCATAGAATTAAAGGGGTTAAAAGAAAAATGAAGAAACAGCTCAATGAACTTAAAGAGCAAGACTTGGAGAGAATAAAAGCCTGAGTGGCGCTCAAGAGTACACAGACATATCGCTGATGGAATTGACAAAGACAACCCAGGGTTTGAAAACAGAATTCAATAAAGAGATAGAAACATTTAAGAAGACTCAAACTGAAATGAAGATGGAACTGAAAAACCCAATAACCCTACTAGAAAACCCAAACAAAAGCCTTACAAGCAGGAATCAAGGGGAAGATCAAAGATAAAGCAGAGGATCTAGACAACATAAGCAAAGGCTGGTTGAATAGACCAAGAAACAAATTTCATTTGTCTTTTATCTACAAGAAAACATAGCTTTAAAGATAGGCACTGCCTTAAGTACTCAAATGGGACCAGGAAGCAAGCAGGTGTCACTGTGTAATACCTAACAGAATAGACTTCAAACTTTGTAACTGTTGGGAATACTTAGATGGCCAATGGAAGATTCCAGTCAGATTATCAAATTTGAATCTTCCTAAATCCCTACTCCCAAAGACCACAAGGCATCTTGATAATAAAATCTCAGTGAAGACACAAACAGGAAAATGACAAATATAACTAGGGCAACTAGACTTTTTGTCTGTTTGAGACCTTGCCCTGACTGTCAAAACAAACCAACCAACCAAACAAACAAAAATCCAAACTCTGTTTATCAGTCTGATTTGGGAGGTAGTTAATATGTTTGTCTTTACTTCTCGGTACTCGCATTAGATGTACATACCACCAAACCTGACCAAAGATTGGTTTTATTCTTGTGCCAAGAGAACTGGAAAGATGCCTGAAGAGGAGAGAGCGGTACAGGGAGCAGCAAACTAGGGGGTTTATATCTCTTCTCTGTGTCAGAAAGCTGTTGCCAGAAGTTTAGGTGATAAGAACTCAGGAAGTGTCATGTCAGAGCCTAGGATATAGAGAAAGTGGGAAGGAGGCCAGACCTCAGTGAGAACCACAGTTCTGATATGCCCCATGAGGACATGACCAGAGGGAGTGGAAGGGTGTTTAATAGCAACACTTTTTGCTTCCTGTCCTGTGGCAGCTGCTTCTGAGACCAATCCCAGTTCTAAACACACACACACACACACACACACACACACACACACACACACACACACACACACACACACGAGAGAGACAGAGAGAGAGAGAGAGAGAGAGACAGAGAGAGACAGAGAGAGACAGAGAGAGACAGAGAGAGAGAGAGAGAGAGAGAGAGAGAGAGAGAGAGAGAGAGAGAGAGGAATTAAAACAGAAATTCAACTGAACTGAAAAACAGGGTGCAAGGCTGCATTTCTCTTAAAACCAAGACACAGAGCACAGAGCCACAAAGGATTTCTTCAGAAGCTTTCTGGGATACAATTGGGCCTTCTCTGCAGAGAAATACCACATTCCTGGCAAATGGGCTTCCATGCTTCTTCAAAGATCTCAGCAGCCCAGCCTAGGCTTCACCCACCCGTGCTTTCTGAGATTGCTCGTGTCATGTGAGAAGTAAAAGCAGATTCAGATGTGAGAGGAGCCTTTTCAAAGCTGTGGGGAGAGGCGTATGTAATCTGGAGATCTCCACTCAGCAACTGCCCCACACTGCATATTAGTCACGTGTAACAACCTTCCCTCCAGAGTACACACACTGGCATCTCAAGACTGGCATGGATCTAGTACTACCCTGCTGAGCAGTTGTCATGTCCAGAAACCCTAGGAATCACTTCACAATTGAAAGCACTGTGGGAGGCAGGTAGATAGCCAATGGAGTGTCTCCTGTCCTTTGACTCCTCTTATCCCTAAAGAAAGGAGAGGACAAAAAGAACACAATGTAAAGTATTTAACACAAGGAACAAATTAGTGACAAAGCTCAAAACGCTCTTGTGACCCAGCAGGAGGAGTGCAGAAGGTCAGCAAATGCTCCGATGTGAGATCTAGTTACTTTTTCTTCCAACCCTCTTGGGACTCGAAAGACTTCTAAAGCTGTGTGATATCATTGGCATTTTGAGGTAGATTATTGATTTGTAACTGCTCCGGTGGTAGTGGTGCAAAGGGGAGGTTGTCACAGTTCACTGACATTACATTTCCCCAAGCCAGGCAGCTGTTTCTCTGCCCTGCTACGGTGTTACCTTTCCTCTTTACCACTCCTCTGCAGGATACAAATACATTTCAATGACCAGACTCAATGATACAGAACAGGGAACACAGACACGACTGTTGAGACAGTCAAGTCATAGATACCTACAAGCCAGTGTGTCCGTTGCTTTATAGAGAAAAGGCTGGAGGTGAGGATGTCACATACAGCATGATTCAGCCTCAGTCTCTCTATTCCAAAATCCAAGCAAGTGATTTTACTGAGATAGAATTATTATAGAAAGGAGGGAAATGAATCATCATATTCAAAAAAGGCCTGACCACATTTGTAACTCAGGTTAATGGCAAAAGCATACAAATACCTTTTCTGCATGCTTAAGTAATAAACATGGACAATGGTTCAAGGAAGCTGGTAAAAGGGGGCTGAGGGTGTCACTGTGGGGGTGTGTGCATTCTGTTTGTGTTTGGTTTTTGGTTTTTGAGACAGTGTTTTATAAGATATGAACAAAGAGGCGAAGGGTTTCTTTGTACTCCATGATCAATGTCAGCAATCCTAAAATTTCTGAATTCAGGAGGGTTTGGGGCAGATCTGAATGACCCAAGATGCTGGTGATACAGATGTTGGGGTTGATGGTATGGCTATCACTGCTTATTAGGCATGTACAATATCTCAGACAAATATTAACTCATTTAACTCTCCTCATTGTTGTCTACAATAGGCATAAATATTTCCCCTTTATAGTTATTTTAGGTATAATTTGCATAGCTAGGGTTTAAATGTTCAGATCATGCCCAGATTTGAACACAGACTTTTTTCTATGTAAAGTATTGTGTTTTCATCCCTCAAAAGACTGGTTGTGGTTGTTTTACAGTCAGTGTGACTCTGGACTCCAGCACAGCCCATTGTGACCCAATTATGTCTAAAGATCAAAGACAAATGATTTACAGATAATGTCACAAGAAGCTTGAGGCTTCTGCCAAGATGTTTTATACTTTACCCTGTGTCCTAGGCAGTAAGGAATTTACTTCAGGAAGATATTACTTAAAAAGTATCTGTTGAGAATGCAAGCACTTGGGATGTAGGAGTCTATATGGAGGATGTGCCGAGGGACTTTGACAAGAAGAAGCCTGAGCTGAAATTCTGGACCATCAAGATATGTGAAGAGGATGGCCTTGTAGCTCCCACTTCCACTCCTACTCCCCTTTGTCTGAGTGAGAAGGCCAGCTTGTGGGAGTTTTCCTAGACTATGAGGCTGGGGTTGTGTCCTTTTACAATGTAACCACTGGCTCACACATCTCTACCCTCCCCAAGGCTTCCTTCTTGGATACTATGATGTTGTAGTATGTTTATGCACTGTGTAAAAATGTATTTCTGTGATTGGTTTAATAAAGAGCTGAATGGCCAATAGCTAGGCAGAGAGAGGTCAGGTGGGACTTCCAGGAACAGAGAAGGCTCTGGGAAAAAGAAGATCAGAGTGCCCAGCCAGATGCAGAGGAAACAGGAAGTGCAAGATGAAAGAGAGGTAATGCTATGTAACAGAATGTAGATAAATGAGTTAATTTAAGTTATAAGAGCTAGTTGAGACAAGCCTAATTAAAGGCTAAGTTTTCCCAATTAATAAGAAGTCTCCATGTCATTATTTGGGAGCTGGCTGGCAGGACAGAAAAAGACTTGTTATACTTGAGGCCCCTTTCCCCAGGTTTATGAAGAGTGTCCTTTGTT